GGTCGCTTTCGCAGCGCGGCGTAGCGCTCACCGTTGCGCCGCCGCAGAGTCATCCCGGCTTGGTGCGATGGCTCCATGAGCCGCGCTCGCCAGAGGTCGCAAACGGGTTTTGATTCCTTACCCGTACCCGTACCCGGCCGCACCAGGGTCGCAAACGTGTACCCGTACCCGGCCGTACCCGGGTATCAGGTACCTGATTGCGAACCTCTGGGATGAAGCCATGTTGCAGGCGCGGGTGGGTTGATTCTAGGAACTTGAATTGTGAGAAGAGACAAGACGTTGGGAAATGAGTGACTAACGGTTACTCACCAGTGACTCACGGCCTACCCGTACCCGTACCCGGCCGCACAAGGGTCGCTAACGGGTACCCGTTCCCGGCCGGGTACGGGTTGCCGGGGATCGGGTAGGGTACGGGTATCGGGTACCCGGTTGCGACCTCTGGCGCTCGCACACCCTGGGCCCCGTCTGCTGAAAGAACCTCGTGAGTGAGTGGGTGAGTGAGTGAGTGAGTGGGTGGGTGAGTGAGTGGGTGAGTGAGTGGGTGAGTGAGTGAGTGGGTGAGTGAGTGAGTGGTGAGTGAGTGAGTGGGTGAGTGAGTGGGTGAGTGAGTGAGTGGGTGAGTGAGTGAGTGAGTGGGTGAGTGAGTGAGTGGGTGAGTGAGTGAGTGAGTGGGTGAGTGAGTGAGTGAGTGAGTGGGTGAGTGAGTGAGTGGGTGAGTGAGTGAGTGAGTGGGTGAGTGAGTGAGTGGGTGAGTGAGTGAGCGGGTGAGTGAGTGGGTGAGTGAGTGAGTAGGTGAGTGAGTGGGTGAGTGAGTGAGTGGGTGAGTGAGTGAGTGAGTGGGTGAGTGAGTGAGTGGGTGAGTGAGTGAGTGAGTGGGTGAGTGAGTGGGTGAGCGAGCGAGCGAGCGAGCGAACGGGGGAGCAGCTGCTCTAACCGGCTTGACGTGGTATCGGCTAACTGGTCCCGGGGTGGCTTGAGGTCACTACGACCGTGACTCCTTTGGAGAGTGTTTGTGCTGCATTGGGGGCATTCCTTATAGCCCATCCATCACGCCACTCACTCGCTAATCAGCACTTAATGGCTGCATTGTAAACAGAGTCAGCAAGTGCAAATTTTATTGGATGTGCTGTGAATGTGGTTTTCCCTCTCCGCCGCCCACCAACACAACAACAAGAGCATGTTACCTGCAGGAGAAAATACAATTGCAGCGTTGCTATTGAGAATCTTTGTGGGAAGGTGGTAAATTACATTTGAACACTTTAGCCGCAGCTTCTTTCTGTTTTCCGTTTAAATGCTTTCGTCTTACGTTTCCCAATTTGATTTTCGGCGTCGTAAGCCCCAAAGGAAACCCGTTCGGAGGTCTCGCAGATCATTGAAGGATCTCAAGTATAAAATAAAAAGCTAGGGATGGGGAGAGGGGTTCGGGTTCTCCAACTTATTGTGAATGAGGGCCTTGGTTTTTGTTTTTTTTAAATGAGATTCTTCACAACGCCAACCGCCCTTCCATCGACCCCGTGCTAAGGGGAACAGCCCGTGGAAGGGGATGTCACAGAACTACATTTTGTTGCCATCCCCATAATGTGACCCTCGTTTGTCCACACACCATTTGGGGGGTAGTGGGGGAGGCGAGGCACAGCTTTGACTCGCATTGCGCCGCCGCTGCGGAGAAATGTCCATTTGCGTAGCGGCCAAAGCGATGTTGCTCTTGATTATATTATTCAGAGCTCGAAGTAAAGTGAAGCGCTGTTACGTTTCAACAATTTACGGGAGTTGTTGTGCAGTCTCATTGACCTCATCGACGGAAGGGCAGTTCTTCTCGTCTGATCTCCCAAGCTAAGCATGATTGAGCACACAAGTACAGTGCCGCCACGGAGTTTTTATCCCTGCACCGTTCTCTGCTGCCCTCAACCCCCAAGCCTCTAACACCTGTTATGCACGGTGGTCACCCAACCAAAGCGCCATTCATGTTCAAGCCTGCTTGGCTTTCGAGATCGGGCACATTCCAGACGATTCGGTCAAAGGTTTTATATTATGTATATATATATCTCTCTTAAATGTAATGGGATAAATACAATAATTTCCAAAAATGTGTTTTCTCCGGGCCAGCGAAGGTCAAGAGGTCATCGTGGACGCTGCCGACGGTGCCATCACCTCTCGCCATCCCTTCCTGCTGCCCTCAGCTGTCGGGCAGTTGACTGCCGACCAAGAAGGTCACTTAGGCTCGAATTTTTACAACACCCCGAGAGAGGACCCCCCCCCACCCCAAACCTTGAGAACTGTGAAGGGTGGAATTTCAGAATGGTTTGTAACGCTCCTTTAAATAAACAAAACCAAATCCGACACTCCTTTTTTAAGACTGACGCGTTTTGTGGGTTGGGGGTGGGTTGATTCCCCCCCCCCTCCCCGCTTTCACGTAAACAAGTCTGCCCTCTACGGGTTGACAAACGTTGAAGCGCCTTGGGAGTTCTCCCCTTCGAAGTCTCGTCCACCCGATCGAAGCCAGCCCTGCTCCCCGTGCCCCAGAGGTCGCAAACGGGTTTTGATTCCTTACCCGTACCCGGCCGCACAAGGGTCGCAAATGGGTACCCGTACCCGGCCGGGTACACGTAGCCGTATCCTACCCGTACCCTACCCGAAATGAGTGACAAACGGTGACTCACCAGTGACTCGCGGCCTACACGTACCCGGCCGCACCAGGGTACGGGTATCGGGTACCCGGTTGCGACCTCTGCCGTGCCCTCTCAAAGAAGCCACCCACCTACCCCTCCTCCTCGTCAGCAGCCATGCGCGACCAGGGTGTAGCCGCGGAGGGCGGTTGGCGTTGTGAAGAATCGCATTTAAAAACAAACAAAAAACCAAGGCCCTCATTCACAATAAGTTGGAGAACCCGAACCCCTCCACCCACCCCCTAGCTTTTTATTTTATACTTGAGATGCTTCAATGACGGCAAGAATATCGCATTTGTCGTCGTTGTCGTCATCATCATCAGTTTCCACATTTCCCCGGTGTCACGATTGGCTTAAGTAAATCGTCACAGAAACGTGCGTTTGGAGTATTTGGCCGCGAGAACATTTTCTCTCGATAAGCCACTTCGTTGGGCTATCATTTGTGGCCAGGTCGCTTCTGAAAAATAACGAATAGCTCTGGGCTTTACCTGGTAAAATAAACAGTTTAGTTTTAGTTTATTTATAATGATTTGCTTACCTTTCCTATACTTTGCACTCATATCGTGTTTTTGTATTGTTTATTGTAACCCATCGGATGTCTCCAAGATAAATAACGATTCTCATTCTGAAGTTAGGCATAGACCCCTTCAAGCGGAAGGGAGCTTGGGGCCGAATTGTGTTGGACAGTCGTGTCAAAGGTAAAGGTGCGGCCCTGCAATTTTTTTTCTGATTCCATTGCTGGTGGAAGGGAGACCTCACTCGGGAGAGACTTTCTCGAGGGTAATGTGGCCCACTCGTTCAAGCTGGCGAGGCGTATTTGAAGAGGTGGAATTACCCACACTTTACACCACCACACGCGACCTGCCGATCAATGGACTTGGTGTGACCCATCGATCCTGCTTGGGTGCACAGAGGCGTGGTGGGTGTGATGTGGGTTGGAGTGTTTAAGAAATTAGCACTGTTGTTTCAACTGCCGTGCCGGCAGATCGAACCGGTGACCTCTGGTTTGCGAGTTCAATGTGCTACCCATAACGCCACGAGACGATCATCTGACAGTGTTATTTATACGGCTCCCATTACCAAAACGATCTTAGGACGTCTCGTTTTTTCAGACAACTCACTGTAGATGCGCCCATAAATTAGCATTTGAAAAGCTTGGGTAACACAAATCTTTGGCCCTGCGATGCCACCTGCCCCTCGTTTGCTTCCGCATTAGGCAAGTGACTCCACACAGTGTCCGATGATCGGCAAAAAGCATAGGAGCTGATTTATTCCAGTTGGTGCCAATGCCCTGCTGAGAATGTGCATTCCTATACAATTATCACGAACCTCATGCGGCCAACATTTCAAAGTGAATCTTGCTCATTGCCAGCTGGCATTGTCATCGCCGAGCTTGCAAAACTGTCCGGCGTGGTTACAGCAAGAACGCCCGTGAGCTGAAGTTTCATTCAAGCTGGCGAAAAGTTATTCGGCGTCACTTGGACTGAAATATGGATTTTTAAAGTACGTTTTGTTTTTAGTTTTCGTTAGCTGTAACGACGCATTTAACAATTCTGGATATACCTCGAGGTAATTTTAACACATTTTAGCTCATATCGACGGAAAACAAGAAAGCCAGTTCAGTAAAGAAAGGTATTCGGCATCAAACACACATTTATGTTGGGATGTTGTTTGTCATTATTATAGTACGCAATTAGACACATTTACTTTCTTTCACGTTCATACTGGCATCCATTCAGAAAAGTTGTTGAAATATGTCTCCGTAGGAAGTTTAGTTTTTTTCAGGTTTCATTAGGTTCAAGGTCTGTGTGTTTTTCAGCATCTCAATGAAAGAGATTGGATTTCACCCTGCCCAGCAACTTTTTTTTTCTTGCCTGTCTTCCACTCCTGTCTCTTTGTGAGTGAGCGTGCGTGCGCGAGTGAGTGTCTGCGCGAGCGTGCGTGCGTGCGTGCGATGCGTGTGTGCGGTGCGTGCGTGCGAACGAGCGAGCGAGCGCTGTTGCCCGTACGGAGTTTTTTTTTCTCTCTCTCGATGTGGAACGGTGCAGAGGTGTCCGCTTACATCAGAAAGCGTCCTTCGCCCTACTTCCACCCCCCCCTCCCCATCCTTCACTGCTAGCCCCCCCCCCCCCGTCACCAAGCTAGCCCGTCTTCTCACGAGCGTGCGAACGAGCAGAGGAACCGTAACCCGCGGTTGGAAAAACCCCGCGTGCGTTTTTTGATGATCGTTCACAGAGCCACGCACAGTCGAGTCTCGGTAGTCCGGGCCGCTCTCGCTTCGCTCGGACTTAAGCGGTCAGGAGGCACGGGTTTGCCGGTGGCACTTTCACCGCCTCTCCCCCCCCCCCTAACTCTCTCTCTCTCTCTCGCCCGCTTTCCTCTCCTTTTTAAATCCACGAGCGGCGGAGGCGGCGGGTTTTAAATTCGTACCTGGACGAGTTTGTTTGCTCGGGACGCCGCGTGCATTTGAATCCCGCGTCAAAAAAGCCGTGCGTCTGAATACCTTTCAAGTTTCTCGTTAGAGTCGTTGTTGTTGTTGTTCTAGACGCGCGTTGTTCTCACTATGTATTATATTTAATAACAATAATAGTGACGGTTTTAAAGTATTGTCAATGTTTTTTTTTAAGTTGTACTCTTGAATGGTTGTTGCCTTTGTCGCATGCAATTGAGGATTTTATTTTGAAGGAGGGGGGTTATTGCCGCATTATGTTTTCAAAGTTTGTTTAATCGTTGCTGGAATGTTTTCCATGCCCAAAAATTGCCCATTTGTTGAAAGGGAGACCTGCTGGTGAGTACACGGTTGCAGACCGATTCAAGAAGATCACAATTGCAACAACAACAAAAACCTTTCGGGGTATAAGGGTCGAACGCAACGGAGGGCGCAACCAGCCCGTCGAGCGATTATTTTCCGTGCAACTCCCCTTGTCTCTGTTCTAAAACTCGAATCCCCTCTGCCAGGCCTTGATGCAGCGCGTCACCATGCCCATGCTTTCCCTCTTGTGCCTCCTGGGGGCTGCGATGCCGGCCGTCTCCAAGCCCGGATGCCACCCTTACCGTAAGCGAGACAACCTTGAACGCTCACGCACTCGCCCAGCCGGACCTACGGCAATTGCTTTATTTTGTTTGTTAATTAAAGAAAGCCGTCCCTTGGTGTGGACCAATCAGTTTCAATGACAATGCATATATTATCATAGTGGTTTTTTTGCATTTTGACTGCAAGTATTGTGGTTAATGCAGACATGAATCCTTGTAAAAAGGTTTCAGTTTTGTTGCCAGAAAAAAGGGGAAAACCCCTATTATTCCAATGAAGATTTGTTTTTTTTTAATCGGATGATGCCTTGTGATCGGACATCTCGAATGCGATGGTGTTCAGGGTACTTGACTACTTGCGACGATTGCGACGATGATGACGCTCGCTATTCGATAACCACTTGCAACAAAGACACGTTTGCGGGTAAAGAGGCGGACAATGAATGTGGTTTGGCGATTGCGATGATGGCGATAATGATGCTTGTTGATGAGCGTTAGAATCCATAATGGAGGTGAATATATATTTACGCGATCTAACCCAAAAATCCCTCTTATGGATGAAATTGGTCGCGAAAGCCCTACCTGTTAAACTGAGAGTGAGGATGTCTGAAAAACAAACTTGCACAACGTTGGTCACGCACCTGCAGACATTCGCAATGGACACGATGCGATGGCGACGACGACGATTTGTGATGCCAGTGATGACAGTGGCATTCGTGAACGCTCTTGTGATGCGTTCTCCACAGTGTTGTACGGGTGTATTACGAATGTCCGTGTGGTGGTCGCAATGTGGGTCACGCACTGCGCGACGCTCCTGAAAATCTGCGGTTGTATGGCTGGGCACGCGCATCACCTTTTGCCAATTGGTCTCTGAACGTGACCTCGGAATTCCCTAGGTTGGCTCGGCCTAAACCAAGGTACCTGCGCGCGTGTGTGGGTGCGTGCGTGGGTGCGTGCGTGGGTGCGTGTGTGTGTGTGTGTGGGTGCGTGGGTGGGTGCGTGCATTTGGAGCGGTAGTGCTTGCTGTTCTACGACCCCGGAGACTCGAGTTCGATTCCCACCAGTGATGATTGTCTGAATCGGTCCTGGGCCACCTCTAGGTCGCCTCAGCCTCAAATGAGTACCCGGTGCGACGTGTAAACGTCGCTGCTGGGGAGACGGAGGCGACGGGACGTGGTGCTGGCCACCCACCCCCGTCGTTCATAGACAACACTTGACCCAACAGTCTGTTAAGGCTACACGGGGTCTCTTTGTCTTTTTAACACGTAGGCTTTCGCGACCAATATTATTCATAATCAACGTTTTTGGGTTTAGATCGCGTTATTTATAAATGTGTCGTAACCCTCCACCACCCGACACGGCCAATCAGTAAAAAAAGTGTCACGTTGACAAAAGACAATTAGTTCACTGCTTTAGCCCACCGGTGTGTTGAAGCGTGAAACCAAAACAATTTACAATTTGAGTACGACGTTTCGCTGGTAATTGCATCCAGTGAACTAATTGTCTTTTGTCAACGTGACTCTTTGTCTTTGTCGTGCGTGCGTGTCCGCAACGCATTGGTGCGTGCGTTCCAGCGTTCGAGCTGGCGCTGCGTCGCGAGCGGGGCGCGTGCCTGGCGCGCGTGCACGCCTGCGTGGGGTTCTGCGAGTCGAGCGCGTTCCCCTCCAAGTACTCGGTGCTGCAGGCCAGCCACTTCCGCCACAACATCACCTCGGTCGCGCAGTGCTGCACCATCCGGCGGCTCGAGAAGGTCAGCCGCACGCATTTTATTCTGGAGTGCACCACTGATGGCAGGAGACTGTCTCTCTCTCTCTTTCGCCGATTTGTGATTGTCAGAATGAGTGCGCTGTTTCGAGTGCAGAAATTATTGATTTTTTATTCTTCTTTTTCCAGTTTAGTCAAATTTGCAAAGAACCCATTCTGGAAACCTCGCAGAGTATTGCGCGCCCGTGTGTCACAGAATAGCCGCAGACGATATTTTTTGGAGGACTCCTGAAAAATAATTTTTAAAATTCCTTTTTGTATCCTTTACGCAGTTATGGATGTCACACTTTCCCATACGCACCGCTATGAGATTGTCGCATGACGAACCGATTTTTTTACATTCTTAAAGTGAACATTTGGCCAGCATGAGTGCAAAACGAAAGTTAACGTGATGGGGCTTTTTTTGTCTGCAGTAGGTGCAAATCACCAAGACCATCAGCTCGCTAAACTTGAGAGCTCAGTTTCATCACATGAGGTTGAAATCTGGATTTCTACATAGGACATCTCAGAAATGTCGGCGAGCATGCTGAGCTCTGAGCCACCCCACAGGAAGGTAATCGTGAAATTACCTCCCAGTCTTCTTGGTTCTTTCGGTAAAGTCACGTAGAAGGGAAATTATAAAATAATAAAAATAAGACATACCGAAAGAACCAAGAATATGAATCCCTGCAGTCACGATAGCTTTAAATCGAAATTTACCTTCCAATCTTTGTCAATGTGCCATCACCCTGGCCAGCCAGGAGATTGCAGCAAAGCAAATGTGTCTCTCCCCGTTATATCTGCATGGAATCGAGTGTTGTCTCCTCGCACGTGTGCATTTTAGCCCGTGGCACTGGTTGTCTCCCACATTGTATAAACATCGATCAATTGGTCGATTAGCACCTTTGTACGTAGAGGATCGCAGAGCTTGTGCAATTTTGGGCACCGGCTCCCCGCGTGGCTGCTTGCTGCTGCTGCTGCTGCCTCCCCACGCTCTATGTCTGCGATGCAGACCTCCCTCACCTTGGAGGGGTGAGCGGCTACTGCGCGGCGCTGCGCGTTCGGTATGAAATCGTCGAGCCGGGCGTCACCGTGTGTCACACGCTCCTGCGTAGGTGCGAACGCGAGTCAAGTGCGGGGCGAGCAACCACGTGATGGAGGTGTTCACCGCCAAGGAGTGCCAGTGCGATGTGTGCCGGCGAGCGCGCTACTGACTCCACCTCCTCCTCCTCCTTCTCCCGGCTCCCCCGAGCGAACGACGGCAAGCCAAGTACAGCAACTAGGACGAGGCGTGTTTTCACGGATACGCCGATTTACCGACTTACAAAAAAGGCATTTGAATTGTGAAGCCGGCGGCGACACGCGCGATGATGAATCTCGCGCGCGTCGCGAGAGATGATCGCGCGTGCCAGCTGCGATCGGTCCGTGTTGACCTCTGCAGCCGGTCAATTGGAGGGCGCTCGATGGATTTACCGCAATGAGGTTAAAACTAAAAAAAAATCGACGAATATTTTTTTTTGTATCAAATTGCGGCGAACGGAATCGTGACAATTCGTGGAATCACTCGCACATTAATCATTAGTTTACTTTTGTATTCGTCGGGTGCGAGTGGAAACATCTATGCATTCGCTTCGTCTGTCTTGCGGTGGCGTAGCTCTCCGATGTTTCTTCGGGATGTACCGTAGTTGCTGAAGAAACTCTCACAGCACGTGGAGCGAAACGTCGGACATCGTGGCACACAAGAGGCGGTACACAACTGAGAAACCACATTGGGCAGCCACATAGCAGCACAGCGGCGATTACGTACGCAGTGGTCTGTGTTGGATATTTGGGCCAGTTAGTCATAATTCGTTTTTTTATCAGATTTTAATTAAACTCTGTACCAAGGGCTCTGGGCATTTGCTCAATATTTCTCAAGACTAAATGGTCACGGTCACGGTCACGCTCACGAATCCTCACGCTATACACACTCTGCATTACCTGCTACGATACTTTAGTTTATCCATCCTCGGGCAGATTTCAGTCGATTGAATTCTTCGAAATCTGTCATTGCAAGAATGTCATTATACGTGATGTATGCGAAGGCTTTATCTACGAACATATTTTTTTTTTATAAGTTCATACGTTAGTGGAATAAATGTGCTACAAACGCTTATCTTCGATGGTAGTGTGGCCTCAGTGATGAATACTCGTGATGTTAATGGAATAAACACGGCTTGTAACCGCTGTTCCGCTTTGTACTGAAGTGTTTATTGAACGGCAGCGGAATGATTGCATACAGCAACCACGTGCCGGAGATAACCCGATTTCTTTATTTAAGTTTGTGTCGCCGGCCCATCGTCCGCTCTGTCCGTGTCTCTCGCTCTCTCTCCCGCCGTGATCGACAGCAGGTCCAGATTTAAAAGCAAAACAATATATTTATACCATTCCCGGGGACAGATTTACGTCAAAGTTGCGATGTGTCCTCATCCCCCTCTTACGTAGCGCTCACAACAAACAAACAAACACGCCCGGTTGAGATGACCGGGGCGGGCAACGCTTCATCTCGAAAGTGCTCCTCCAAAGTCGTGGGGGGGTGGGTGGTGCGTGGTGGGTGGCAATTTGCGTCTCTGCAAGAGTGAGCAGAGGAAGCACCGCCACCGCATCGGCGAGCCCCAACCGGTCACCCAAATAACCAAGCTGCTCGATATATTGCCCACTGACGATGGTACCTAAAGGGCGTTTTTTTTTACACGCTTTCTTTTAACTCACTCTGTCTGTTGTTGCTGTCATTGTAGTATCCTCAAATCTTCTAACTCAATTTTAACCCACTTCCCAATGTGGTATCGACCGCGAACTTGGTATACTTGTGTCATACCGATGACAATACTATATTCTATCATTAAAAATGTTTTTTTAAACATTTTTTATATGTTATGTTTCGGCTTGGGTCTAATTGTCCACGGTCAACTGACGTTGGCTGTAATTGGCCACGGTCCCTTATGTTGTGGCAAGCTTCGGGGCCACTTCCTGGAGTCTTGGAGTTCTACCATTACTAGTACATTTCATAAAAACGTGTTTTAAAGAAAGTTTTTTTCAGTATTACTTTTTTATTACCTGCTAAATCTTCCTGCCCAAATCGCCACAGCTGACTACACTCCACGTACGATACCGTATTCAATTATTCAAATCGACTGTTACATTAAATGGAACCAATTTTATTGATTTCCGTGAGCCAATTAGTCAAGAGTCAATGCCCATTACTTTAATTAGCATTGCTTTATTCGTATTAGCTTAACATTATGCAGCTACGCTCCATGGACACTTATCCGTATTCAGCTTTGCCAGTTCTGAACATTTCTTTCCTAAACTTATTTATGAGCGTGGCCTCAGCGTCCAATCCCCGAGCCGGGATTGCATCACGTGTACCCTCGCCGACAAGATGCATCAACTCCAACCTGGTAAGTTCAAACCCAACACGTTGTAACGCAGTGGCAAGATTCGATACGAAAATCTCACTTGGCAACCGGTCGACTGCAACACGCTGCCGAGCGCACAATTACGCGAGCGATTCACCGGCTATTTCATTAGCTGCGTTCATTCTAAAGAGAGGCATTTTGGGCACGTAATATGACTTACATATTTATTTTGAGCCGGTTCCATTAGTTTTACCAACCAATATTTGAATTTGCAACGCTAATACGTTTGTTGCACATTTAAAAAAAACGTGTTTTTATTTGTCCAAAAAAAAATGGTTCAGCAATATGATTTGATTGCAAACAATTTGCCATTTAAAATAATTGTTTAAAATTCAAAATAAATGGCCCCAATTTTGTTCCAACAATTTCCCCAAATCGCAAAATATCTTCTATATATATTTAAAAAATTCCATGGACACTCTAACATGCCCTTTGTTCTGTGCAGAAGAAAGGATGGGATAACGCAAGTGCACACAGCGTAATTATTATAAAACGAAATAATTGTTGTGAAAAAAGGCAGAACGTATGTCCCCCATGTCCCATTCGTTCCCTCTGTCTGGCAAAGTAGTGCAAGGCAAGTTGTCAGGCATGACCCATTATTAAAAATATTTTTTTGCGATAAATGTGGACCCTTCCTACAAAACAAACAACAACAAAACTCCCCAAGGTAATGCGAGTGAGCAAAATAAAATTAATAAAAATCCCCTCCCCTGTTAAAAAAAAGCCACCTCTCATTCGTGCTGACATATTGTGTGAAGAGGCCCAGGCATCCCTCGAGTGTTTTTAAGCCGTGACTAGTGCTCATATATATATTTTTGCCGCTGTTATTTTTTTTCACAGTAATCTTTAACCCCCCCCCCCTCCACTGCTCGGTGCCAAAACGCTCGTCCAATGGTATATTTTTAGCGCTGGAATCTATACTATCGTGCGGTCTCTTCCTCGCGTCGGTCGCTTGGGTATGCGTCAGGTCAGTGGGACTTGCCTGCATTATACACAACCTTGACAGGCAACTCAAAATCCGCACGCAAACGTCGACAAACTATTCTGAGTTCCCACCGCTCCCAGGTGCAGTGCTCGCTCTCTCTCTCTCTGTGTTTCCCTCCTCCAATTTGCACGCTTCTAAAGTGTTCCCCTTTCAGAGAAGAACTCAATCATCTCTGCCGCTTTGTTGATACACATTTTAAAACATACATTGTTTTATGGGCATCGTTGGTTATCCCTTAATTCAGCTAGGATGCTGATTAAACACAATTATGTACTTTTGTTTCATTCCGTTTAAAATAAATCCACTCAAACATTGAACAGATGCAAATCTGCTGCCGAAAACAAGTAGTGAAAAAACAATTCTAGCATTTTCTGGTGTATGCCAATGAGTTTCAAAGACAATACAAATATAATAATCAGAGCATGTTTATTTGCATATTTTGTCACAAGTACAACATGTGTGGTTATTGCAGACTTGATGGCTTGCAATAGGAATCTATTCGGTGTTTGGACATCTTAACACCTGCTTTATTGCCAAAAAGGATTAAGCCTATTCTTAATTTTTCATAACTTTGATATTTGGGGTGCCGTGGTGTGAAACCCCTCGCCTGGTATAAAGAATTCCATGGGTTCGATCCCGACCCCGACGCCTGCTGATCTATTTGGAGTTTGCGTGTCTCTTCCCCGTGGTCGCGTGGATTTTTCTCCGGGTCCTCCGGTTTTTCCCTCCACATTTAAAAGCATGCGTTTCAATTATTTAGCTGCTATATATTTCCACATAATCCACTTCGTTATCTATTGTGGCCAGGTCGCTTCTGAAAAAGAGCTATAGAGCTCAGTGGGCCTTTTTTTGGTATAATAAAATTAAGTTTAGTTTAATGGAAAAAAGGTCCCATAGATTAATCAAATTTTTTTCTGTCGCAGGGGGGGGGGCAACTATACCCATATACCAACCACTTGACTTCAGAGCCTGAAACCGAGGTGCCTGTTTGACAGCACCGTCAACATCCGCACAATACGGGGGGGGGGGGGAGACAAAGGTGGTCGAGCATGATGCAAGACGCCGTGCTGTTTGGCGGCCACCCCACTCCCACGGTCGCATTTCCGGCGACCTCACATAACATTTGTTCGCTGTGAGCACTTTGCCCCCCACCCACCCACCCTGGTGCAGCCTATGCCGGCTATTTGGGAGTGTGCGGGATTGTCTCGATGAAGTATTGGGTCATCGGTAGAAAGCTCATTTGTTTGGAATGCAGTTGCTGTAGAATGTGCGCTGGGCACGTATGCAGCGTGTGTGCTCGTCGGGAGGGGAAGGTCGCCCCCCCCCACCCCAGAACCCCCCATCCCCCTCGACATTGAATATGAAAACTGAGCACCAGTGCCAATCAATTGGCAAGGGTAGAGAGACTCACCCCTGCGGGGCAAGCCGCGACTGCGTCTCTGTCACTCTCTGCCATCGCTGGAGGGTTTCGCGCCGTGCATCATTAAAAGCGGGTAGGCAGGCGGGCGGCTTGAGCAGAAAGAAAGGAGAGAGAGAAAACGTTCGCTGCGAATTCGCCGTTGTCCATCACAGGCTCGGTGGACACTGCCCCGCTTCTGGGCTCTACGCCACTCGCGTCAATCGCGCGCAAATCTTTTTTGTTTCGTGTACAAATCGAGAATGCACCGGCGCGCCGCGCGTTTTTCTTGTGCCCAAATTTGCCCCCGACAAAAAAAAATTCACGCCCTCGGTGCACAAAATCCGCTGTTCGCTTCAAGCCTTTTAAAAAAGCCATCGAGTTTCCTGTCGAAATTTATGAACGTGCAATTATTTCATTAAAAAAATATATATACGTTTAGATTCGCTAACATTTGAGGAAAATGCGGCTTATCGGAATACCCTATTCTTAAGTTTTGTTTGGGCAATTAGGTTGGCCACCCAGGCTGCAAAGCCACGAAAAAGGGCATTGACATTAATAGCCTGTACCCGATTGTATCAACGCGCGATTACAATGGGTAAACACACGAGCCACATCACAGAAAACAAATGACAGCCAACAACAGTGGTGTTGTCACCAGACCGATTTCTTTCAAGGGGCACTGCATTTGTATTTCACCCTGGCCTTTGGCCCTGTCGCAGCTTTAGTTGAGAAACCAGATTATAAAACACAAACATCTTTGCCAAGGTGTACCAACGCACCATTCGATGTCCGTGGTTGGCTACATACAACGTGCAACATACATACAAACCTCCGCCCCCCGCCAATTACGGAGGTGAGCAGACCGACCACGCCGCATAGAAATTAAATGTTTGTGGGGGTGCTGATTTATTTGCTGCGGCACGTATGAGTCTGTTTCTTTCCCCCGCAGCCCGGCGGTCTGGTCAACAGATGGCTTTAGCGGTCCCGCTGAACTGTGAAATGGTGCAGATGGCAGGTCTGCCGAACTGATGAATTTAATGCGCTTCTCAGCCGCGCACTCACCACCAGACTGCTAAACAGTTACGCGTTCAAGTGGAGAAAGATTAAAAAAAAAACACAACAAAATGCAGAATAATAAAACAACGATTTCCAAACAGCCTTGAAGCCTTATGGCGCCGAACCGATTGTGTGCAGGTTTCTTTTTTTTTTAAACCATCATTTAAATTCCATCAATTACGAAAATCCGCCAAACATAAGTACGAGCCCATTTCGCTTTTATTTAGAACGTGTACAACTTAGTGTTCATACCAACGTCTGATGCAACTCGCAAAGGAAACCAAGCAGCCAAGCTCAGCTGCCATGGTGAATAGAATGAACGCGAGCATTGTTCTGCTTTTAAGCGACAGGTTATTCCACATCAGCTCTTTGCTGGGGTCATGTCCCCACATGTCTAAAAACTGCCAGAACGATACTCCACCAACCCTATAATAAACAGTGCACGTCAAAGTCAGCGTAGAATTATGTATACACACGACGCACAGTAGACTTTGCCTAACTTGTTACAAGCGTAAGTAAAAAACAGCTCTACAATATATTTTTTCGCCGCGATATATTTCCAAGCGTTCTGTGTGTACAATACAAACACTACCCACACAACATCCTTCTGTCCTCTCTCCGCCCCAACGCGCGCTCACTCGGACGGACGGGGCACACAGAGGCTCGCTCGGGGGCAGCGTTAACAGGTTATCTAGCGGTGCCACTCCAAAGCACGTCAAGTCCGCGGTGGCAACCGAGCCAGGGCTAAGTTGCCGTTGAATGTAGAGCGCGGGCGGGGGGGGGGGCGACCCAGCTGCCCGCCATGGAGTCTCGCTGCTGCACTGCCACATCCGCCGCACCCACTGGCCTGTGTGTGTGTGTGTGTCCGAGCCCTTTTCTTCTGCAAAGCCGTCGGACCGTCTGTAAAATGGCTCTAGGCTTTTTGAGAGAACAATTTCCTGGTCCATAGTGTGCAGGGTGACATAAAAGACATATTATACATGCACAATGCCTATCCTCTTTCCTCACCCCCCCTCCCAACCACCCCATCCTTTGACACAGCAGCAGATTTTTTTAATTTTAATTTAAAATCTCATGGCGTGATGGTGGTTCGGTGTAAAATGGTAAGAGGGGCTCCGGGAATGTGCTGGCTAATACGAAGCGTGTTCTCGACGCGTCTCAGGGCTTGACCCCAGGTGATTTCTGGAAATAGCTGGAGATTTTCTTCATCATGATGGTGGGACTCGAAGGCTGGAAGGAAGAAAAAAAAGCGATAACGTGTGAGAACGCGTATTACCGCCAAACGGTGTGTTTTATACACAGCGGTGCAGTTTAATTTACCTGTCCAGTTACCGCCAAGGCACAGAGCAACGTAATTGCCTCGTAGAAACACGGAGATTCATTGATTCGTCAATTAACACTTCTTCCTGTGTACACGAACAGCACCTCAAAATCCTCATGTTAAAGAATTAATAATTAATTTTGATTTGAATCTTTCACGGCTACAAATATGACTTTGTACTGCAGATTATTTTTTTCGGTACAGCCAAAAAGATCACGGTAAGTATTAATTATTATGAACGCGTACAAACTTATGAAAATGTTTACTTTAGGATAGCAGTCAAAACGACTAAAACACCACAGATGCAACAGCCAGTACAGATGGGAGAGTACGAACTTGAAAAAGGGTAAAAACGTTATAGATGGACAGTAGAGATGGTACAAACAAGATAACAAAAAAAATCCTAGATTTAAATCTTCAACCCAATTCATGAAAAAATAATCACTTAATTGTAGTGGGGGGGAGATTACTTCGGGGATAAAATTGAGGGTAAAATTAGATGGTGTCCTGGACAAAACTCGATAACCCACAAAAATGCTCCATTGTCCAGAAATCAGGGTTTTGTTGAGAGTAAGATGATTACGTGAATTATTAAGTTCATTGCGTGGCCATCAATAGAAATATAATACAATCATTAATGTAAACTGCAGATTGTCAAGTATGTCGATGAAGCCGTGATAGATTCATCAAATAGAATGTGGGTTGTCATATACAGTATTTCCCCGACACTCGATGGTAACATTCCTAATGCTCCACTTCCATAACGTCACCCTGAAACACTTCCCTGTTGGAGCAAATGCCGTCCGCCCGTAGCGCCTATGAAAGCCGGCATGGCAGGCAAAGAGGTGACGTGGTAAAAGCACCACACCCGGCCACCTCTGTCATCTCAGTGCAGATGTTTGCACACATCAGCAGCAGTTATTACTCATTTAAGGCCGAGTCAACCTAGCGGAGGCCCATACCCAGCAGATATATTTGCAACCGAGTGAGAATCGGATCCAGGTCACCAGGTTTGTAATGCAGCACGCGAACACACGACACTGCCGCCATGTGAACAAAAGAAAAAAAAAAGACGCGTCTCATCCCACACCGGACAATCGGCTCACCTTGTCTGGCGATAGCGCCATCTCAGCACTGCCCTTGGCTTTGCCACGGAGGCTCCCGGACCGTGCCGCCGCCCTTCCCTTGCTCTTCCCTTGCCCCGCTCCCCGAGCCGGCGTCCGGTCGGCGCCCTGGTTCTCTTTGTTCACGCTCTCCGACTCCGGGGGACGACACGACGAGTCGGCGCGGGGAGAGTGGTGGCCGCTCCTCGTCTCGTCCGTGACGAGGTCAGAGGTCGGCGGCAGCGCGGCCGCCACGCCGACGGACTGCGGGCTGCTCGTGAAGTTCTCGACCCCCGGGACGACCGCGTCCTCCGTCCGCGCAAAGTCCCCGTCGCCGCCCGTCGGGCCTTCGTCAGGCTCGGGCCTCAACCTCTTACACACTTGGCTGCACAGTTCGCTGCACCTCGCGCCGCTCAAGCAGCTCGAGTCTGCGTCCACGCCGCCCTCGCCGCCGCCGCCGCCCGTCTCCAGGCGGCGCTTGGCCCGCCCGGAGGTGGGTCCAGCGGCGGCGTCACGGCGCGGCCCCGTCCTCTTCCTCTCCGACGACGCGCCGCCCGCCACCTGCAGCCACCGCGTGATGGAGAGGGTTCGGGAGCCGGGCGAGAGCAACGCGGAACCGCCCGGCGTCGCGGGAGACTGCACGTGGGACAGCGGCGTCCTCGACGTCGGCGTGGCCAGGGCGGCGTGCGACCCCGACGGCCCGGACGGTCCGGAAGGCGTGCCGGAGGCGGAAGGGGGGGAAAAGGCGCCGAGCGGAGACGCGGAATCGAGCCTGGAGGGCGCGCCGGCCGGGCTCGGGGTCAGCGGAGCGGCCTTCGGGGTGGCGGCCGACTGCAGCGACGACTCGGAGGAGCTGGGGGACGGCAGCGAGGCGGAGGAGCCCAGCACGCAGGCGGCGGGGCGTGGGGACGTGTGCGACGGCGCGTGGCCACCGTGAGACGGCTTGGCAGGAGTGGTGATGGCCTGGCCGTGTGCGCCGCGTTTATCTGTTTTCACGCGACGACAATAACAACAACACAAACAAAAGACGCAGGGAGGCTTTTAGGGTTTAGTTTGTTGTCCTATCCCCCGCACCTCCGATTAGCAGGGTTGGCTACGTACGGTGCGAAAGAAAGTTCAACATGCACACTTACAACTAGCCGATGACCAAAATCACTCGGAATGCACACGATCTCGTCGTATGTCCGAATCAAAGCGGGGTTTAAGCTTGGACGGTGTTTGGATGGGCACAAACCGTGCATTACAGGCGGGGCAAGGCAAAAACATTAGCCGTACTTCTTTGCTCACCGCCTTTGCTCGGTCGCATTGTGAAGTATGAATAAGTAACTCCCCAAGACATACACGGAGCGTATGCAGTGGATTGCCGAAAGGGCTGTTCACTGTATTTACATTTGACATCCCGGGGGAAGGCCCACGTGAGCTAGCAAGCTTTAATTCATATGGGGGAAGGGGGACATGAATGACACAGCAGAACATTTAAATTATTCAACAAAGCGGCACTAAAACAACAAACCATCTTCTAAACAATCTAAAAAAAACACATTTAGAGCAGCAAACATCCAAGTGAATAAGAATCACCACGGACGCGTCATTGAAATGAAAATAACTTTCGGAGCGTCTTTACACTGCACCGCACTGGGCGTGGACTAAATAATATTGCCCGTTGTTACACTTCTTCAGTGGAGATGTCGATTTCACTTTTGTAAACGTAGGTTCGCAGGCGAGGTGCAAGGCTCGCAGGAGGTGAAGTACGGTTATTCCGAGTATCACGAAATTATCACGGTTGCTGAATGTTACAATAATAATAATACTTTTATTTTATATCGCTTCCTTCACGTTAATAGCATCCCATAATGCTGTACATTCATTATATATAAGGACTAAATCCCATATATATGGCCACTAACAAGAAAATTAAAACCCTACTACTACAAAGCAAAATCTAAAATGAATAAACAAATTAAGAAACGGCACCAAAACAAAAAGCACAAACAACACAAAAGTTATCACAACAAACAACATGAGTCCAATAGGTTGTACGACGGCCACGACCGGTGATGACACAAAGTACGAGCAGTGGAGAATGATGTCACTACAGTGTAGAATTATGTTACAAGTTGTCCGATCGCTTGGGCGCCAGTCAATCGATTTCTTACGGTCATTGCTCCTGGACGCGCGGGCCAGTAGGTCCGATTTCCCTGTGGAGTCCTTGGCTTGGTCAGTCCCACGACTCAGTCGCCAGATCAGCAGCTTGTTGTCGTCCGAGCAGGTCACGATCTGATCGGTGAGACATGCGCGGGGAGGGGGGGGGGCACATGTTGACCTTCAGCTGTGTCTATCATCATTTACGCAGAGATAGGTGTTAGTAAATTCAGCAAACATGTGAGCGCAGGTCCTTACGTCAGCCGCATACATTTAAGACATTGTTATTTGTCGCCGTAAATAAAGTGTAAACGCACATCACAGATGTGGACACGCAGGCATTTGTTCCCCTCCGCTCCCAGATTTTGGACAGGGAAGGCAAGCCCCGTACACGTGTAGATAGAGAGATAGGGAGATGCTGCCGTGGTGTCACGGTTAGCAAACTCGCAATCCAGAAGTTACCGGTCGAGCCGACGTGTTAAAGTTACCGGTTCGATTCGATTTTCCGGTGTGGCAGTTGAAGCAAAAGTTAATGAATTCTACCCCCACCCCCCCCCTACGTCACCAAACGATCAGCGGCATGAGTACACCACACAGTTTGGTGATGGACAGGTCACGTGTGGTGGTGCGGTAAAGTGTGGGTCCTCCCACCGCTTCCAAGACAATCGCCCAGTTGTGGAAGAGAAAGTCTTAACACCCTCCCAGGAGGAGATGGATAGAGCAGTGGTGGCCAGCTGGCGACTCCCGAGCCACATGCAGCTCTTTAATCCACCACATGCAGCTCGATCAGGAGGGGCATAACGTAGAATTTGCCACTGCGACAGTACAAAATTATGAATTAAAGTTATATATTATATATTATATACTTGACACTTTGCAGAACTCATGGGTACTTTGTGTCTCTTGGTTTGCTACAGGTTGACCACACCCCTGCTCTAGAGCTTCCTTCATTGGAGGACTTTCCTCCAGCAGCAATAGCAGCAACAGCAGAGGTGAGAGAGAGAGAGCGCGGTGGTGGCGTGGGTACCTTGGTGAAGTCGGTGGGGCACCAGCCCACGGAGGTGACCTCCTGCGAGTGCCATCGCAGGAGCACGGGCTCTGCCAGCGGATCCGCCACCTGGGGAGGAAGGGACAGGAGCCACATGCTGAGCCTCGCAGACACAATGAAACCCCCCTCAATTGCTAAGCGCGGGACCAAAGGCCTGTAATTCAAAGTGGCCAGCAACAGAGAGCGCTAATGATTACCTATCGGATGACAATTAGCACGTTCCTCGAGCAAGGTTACAAATCAATATATTATTATCGCCACGGTGGCGAGATGTTAACTACCTCGCCTGGTATATAGGAGGTTGTGGTTTTGATCCCAACCCTGACAGCTGTATATTTGGAGTATGCATGCTCTCCCCGTGGATTATTCTCCACGTCCTCCGGTTTTTCCCTCCACATTTAGAATCGACATGTGTTCTTGGCTACTATAAATTTCCACGTGATAAGCCACTTCTATGAACTGTCATTTGTGGCTTCTGAAAAAGAGCGATATCACTCACTGGGCCTTACCTGGTAAAATGAAAAATAGAAAAATATCGGCCAAACGCATCCTTCACATTGCCTATGGTACCCAGAGGCATAAAGTTAATGGGAAAAATGCAGTTCGCGGTGTTAAACTGAGTGACAAGAGAGCGAATGAACGATGGCGAGAGCGCGCTTGGAGCGAGCCACTGCGTACAGCAGCATCGACTCTTGACGCAGCCCAGCAATTCCTGGTGCCGAGCGCACAGATGCCACCAGGAGATGGTCGTGTTGGTGGTGGTAGTGGTGCAGGTGGGGGCGGTGTTCGACAGCATCAGGGTCCCCCCCTTCACCTTCCAGATGTAGGCAACGTCGTCACTGGAGCCGCTGAGGAGGAACTCCCCGTCGGGGCTCAGGCTGCTCTTCACGTAGAACGACGAGTTAAGGTGACCACGAAACGTCGCCACTGCCGCGGGAAAAACGAGGCGACACGGGTAAACGAGGGGCGTGCGATGGGATCTCCCCACCACCTACTCTTTCCGCCCGCGGGATTATGAGATTATTATTTTACGAATTGATCTCTCATGTGGTTACTGACCACTTAAAAGCTTTGCAGCCACTGAAGGCGCTAAATTCATAACAAATTGCAAGGGGGGGGGGGGGGGGGGGGGCTTAAAAGCAAGTAACGACTCTTCGATTAAATATCAACTCTTACGCTCACAACAGATGTATCGAATCAAGCGCGTGAAGAGCCAACACATTTATGATTCACGCAAACGATACCGGTAACGATACGTTCGGGGCGAGGCGTGACGGATGACATGGCCGTCTGGCGCGACCGTGGGAGGGCCCCCCGCTTACCCGGCGACGTCCTCGCTCCTGCCACGTCGAACATGTACACAGAGTCGTCCGTGCAGTTGGCGAAGAGAAGCGAGGACGAGGCGTTGAGTACGAGGCTCGAGAACCCTGCGAGTACAAACACCGGGGGGCAGGGGCAGAGAAGTCACTCTCGTGCCAGCACCGGCTGGTATCATTTATTTTTAAAATGCAAGTTTTATCCAACCGTACAATCGGTGTCGCAGCGCAGCATCACCCCGTGTAACCATCTCCCCCAATCTGCGCTTGCGACAATCGTAACGATACACACTGTGGGGTTCGCAGTGGGCGTGGGCGCTGTTTGCAGGAACAGGCCCGTTGTTTCCTGGCGGCGTCATGGGCCACATTGGCCTCGTTTGGAAATTTGACCCACAGGTCACTCAATCCGAATCTACGGAGCGATTATCGCACACCCTACTACGCGAAAAAACTTGCCAGGAGTCGCCTGTAAATGAGTTTGTGAGTCTCAGTGAGGCATTCCTGCATATTAACGTGATGTAGAACGGCCCACAGAAGGAGTTATTACAAGACTACCTCTGAGATTCTCAAAGTGACCACTTTCATTCACGCGACGCCAGAGAAATGTTCATCACATAGTAGACCTGGAGTCAATTATAATTACAATTACAAAGCATTGTTAGCTAAAATGATCATAACATGTTGATGTTTTCATTAAAAATTCTATATTTAAAATGTTAATTGATGCCGCATCTCTCAAACTTCACGCTGGTAGTCAAATTAAATTTCTCAAACGTCATACAAGCAATCAAATCGATAGAACTTTAATATTAAGAGCTGAAAATTCTGCAAAATGAAGTGAAAATACTATTATTTTTGTACAATCATTGCCAATTGGGTTGATACCATAAACTCAATGCACTTGATAACCTGGTTTAATCATGGGCGGCTGAAACCCAGATTCAAGGCCAGGATCTCAGCTGCACCATCTCTACACTCTTGCATCTCTATCAAGTCGTTCACACTTTGCCCCGCTGCCCATTATTTCACAACACGGACGAACAGGCGGTCAGAACAATGGACGCACAGGGAGCACCATCACAGTGCAGGCACGTACCTCTCTTCCGGGAGCTGCTGCCGGGATAGGGGAATGATTGCGCAGGCACGGGTCCCATCCGGTAGCTGGTGTAGTTTTTGCGCATGTCCCAAACCTTTATTATCCTACGAGAACAAAAGGAAAAGAGGGCGAGGGATGTCGGCGATGCAGGAACACTTCCCAGCGTGCGTGTGGAAGCGCCGCGGGCAAGGTGTTGACCTCTCTGCACGTCTTCCAGAAAGACGCACAGACCCTTGTTTATAAACCAGGTAGGAGCCCATTTTGCCTGGGGTGGTGAAGTGGTTCACACACCTGGCGGCCTGAGTTCCATTCCCCCGCCAGCTATCATCAGCGGCGAGTGATAACTGAATCAGTGCTAACCAGAGGTCGCAACCGGGTATCCGATACCCATACCCTACCCGATACCCGGCTACCCGGCCAGGTACGGGTACCCGATTGCGACCCTGGTGCGGCCGGGTACAGGTACGGGTAAGGAATCAAAACCCGTTTGCGACCTCTGGTGCTAACCATCTTGCACCTGAATAACGTGAAGATTGGCCAAACAAAGTCCATGACTGGACACGGCGTGGAGAGGCTTTCATCCGGCAGTGGATTGACAAAGATTTCTAAATTGTTGTTTAAAAAGCCTACTGAGACTAGATTAAAGACTAATGAACTATAAACATTTTTTATTATACCAGGTAAGGCCCACTGAGCAAAAAATCTCTTTTTCAGAAGTAACCTAGCCATAAATGGTATCTCAAATAAGTGGCTCATCATGTAGACATTTATAGAGAGCAAAAAACTCTTATGTTTCTAAATGTGGAGGGAAAAACCGGAGGACCCAGGAGAAAAATCCAAGTGACCACGGGGAGAACATGCAAATTCCAAATATACAGGCATCAGGGTCGGGATCGAACCCACGACCTCGTGCATACCAGGCAATGTAGTTAACATCTTGCCTAGACGAACAAACAGTGCTTGGATGAGTGACAACCACACGCAAAGACAGGTGGAGTCGGCGTTGTAAATATTATAGGGCAGTGTAGCAAAATCCATTTATTGTTTTGACTTCACCAACCCACACTGACCAGCATGGTGAGGTATGGTCAAAATAACACGGCCCTAAAAGGCGCTCATCCAGCAGTGAATTGACAACGGGCTGTACACGAACACGTTCGAGACTGGACGTCTCTCTTTCGAGGATAACCTTTGTTGGCAAAATAAAAACGCGCGTCGGTATTTCCACGCCAGTTTTTTTTGTTGTTTTGGTTTCGTGTCGATGGAAATGGCTGGGGTCCACTTACCCGTCTACGGCCCCAGAGGAGATGAGAGTTTTTTCGTCCTGGAAAATCACAGCCGTGACGCTCTGCTGGGAGTCCTGGGAAGGGGGGGGGGGGAGCGGCGATGGAGTCAGCGAGCGCAAAAAATAGTGGCCTAACGAGAACCAAACCGGTGCACAGGCGTCTCATTGTCATGCCGATGTCGTCTAAAATTATTTTGCCTCCTTTAAAAGAGAGTTGGCGGTTGAAAACAAGGTTGCGCGTGTGTTTCGCGAAAAAGTGCTTCACAGCTCACGGCATTCCTCCAGTATAAAGATTCTGATTCGCGCCACGAGCGGCGCCAAAGCATGCCGTGGTGACAAAAAGATCGATTCAAGGAATTGCGCGGCGGGCCAACCGTCGCACACGTGCGGTTGACTGGAGGAGCAGTCAATCGAGCGCGCCGCGTGACCACGTGCGCCTAGGTCTCTGGAACGCACCACGGAGGGAGCCATGCCCCGCGGCGTGTTCCGGCGCTTCGGAGTCACGCTGATCTTGGCGGGCGCGTTGTGAGCGCTGCCGATCCTCTTCACCGCGCTGTAGAACCCGTCTGTCGTCGCAAACACGAGCACAAGCGGCACGAATGTCACCCAACGACGCTCGTGCTTAACGGTGCGTTCTCACCCACCCAATGTGCCCTCTTCTCCTGTGTTACTCTCCTGCCTATGAACAAATCGACCTCCCCCTGAATGTGCCCCATTGTCAGATGTCGGAAAGCCAAGCTGGCTTCGTACCGGTGAGAACTTTGGGAGACTGCCTGGGAATTCCAGATCTCGCAGGATTGGGTTGCACAGGATGGATTCTTGAACCGATGCGAGTCACAATTGTCCCACCATTATGCGGGCGGGTTCTCTCTGGGTGCTCCGTTTCCCCATCATTAACATTCATTAATGGAATTGGGCAAACATCCCATTACAGGGCCATCCTCAAAACGAGTCAGACTTTTTACATGGATGAAGCTTAGTTCGTAAGCTTTGAGTGACACTCCCTGGTGTATAGAAAGTTTTCTCCAGGTACTCCTGTTTCTTCGAACAAGCTGAACATCCATTAATGTAAATGGCCAAACATCCCAATGGAGGACTCTTATGGAAAATAATGTTCGGACTCAATGAGCCTTACCTTGGGTAAATGGGTAAACAATTTGCACTGTAATGACAAAGGTGGCGAGTTTCTGGATGTGTGCCCGCCAACGCCGTCCCTTGTTTTGCATTCTCACCCCTTTTGCTGCATCTGATGTCCCAGACCATGATGTTTCCATCTCTTCCTCCCGTGCAAAAGACCGCTAACATCAAGAGGGAACAGGAAAGGGTTAAATAAGCATCAGTTCTCATGAAGCTGTGCATGGGTGCGAACAATGGCAGTGCTGCTATGCAAGTGCTGAGCTTAGTTTCCACTTAATTATGCTTTTTGCTGGATTTGTTATTGCTTTTTTAATGCCATTCCTCCACAAAAACCGTCGATACCACGTGACTTTTCGGGGGGAACTCCAGAAGTTAATCTTTTCAAGTGTGGATCTCAATGATCCCAGAGTCTCTAGACATATTTGCCAAGCTGCTTATATGCTCGAGAGTAATAATAATCATTCTTTACAGCCTCTGGTCAATGCACTGCTGGATGAAGGCCTCCCCGCGCCTGGTCGATTGTGCAGATTTGTCCATCTGTACTTCATCACGCTGCTCAGTGCGGGTTAGTGAGGTTGGGAGGGGAGCCCAGGACCGTTTCAGATATCACTCGCCACTGATGTTAGCCGTGCCTTGGAATACATTTTCACACTCCCACCCTGCGATGTCCAGTATCTGCTGCCACTGCCGATGGTCTTGGGCTGCGGTCGTTCTTTTTTGTGAAAGAGCTGCTTAGCTCAACGGGTCTTACCAGCTGCAATAAAATATGAGTCCGAATCTCAGTTCGCTAGGTTTATAATAGCTCAATGCACTAACCACTGCCCCGCCGCTCCCTCCCCATGTGCTCTACGCAATGAGAATGCGTGCCGCGTAGACATCCATAGGAAATGGCCTGGCACAGCATCCGTGCTGTTAGATTTGCACCTGCGCTCTGGATCTTGGGTTCAATATCCATCAGGGAAGAGAGTGTGCTGGGTGCCTTGCATACCAAGCGCAAGTCTTTTCTGCTTACCGATCCATGCGGCACATTTATTGATTAATCATTTGCTCAAGAGTAAAGAACGTTCAAACTGCACCGACCGCCATAAATCGAGTGCCGCACATGTACGGTTTGTATTTACAGATGACCGCCGTTTGGACACAGATAGGCGGGGGGAGGGATTGGGGTGTGGGGATCAGCGCACGTTCCAGGTGGCTGGGGAATTGAGGATAACCGTAATCAAGCTTTCGAAAATACTTCATAAGGAGCGCAAATCGCTCTTTGTTTTTGTACGGTATTAGTCACCGTCTCTAATGGTTTCCTTGCGTCATTAATCACAATTAATCAGTCGGCGAGGCCAGCGACTGTGCAGTTGTTAGCACGCTGAGCTATGAACCCTGAAATCAAAGTTCACTTCTCATCCACGGCTAACATCGGTGGCGTGCGACGTCCGAACTGCTCCCGAGCCCCCACATTCACCAACCCGCACTGACCAGCGGGGTCAAGTGTGGTCACATATACCAACACCCCCCCGCCCCCCACCAATGGTCACACAGTGTGGGGTGAAAGCCTTCAATCAGCAGTAGTGCGACAACAACAATAACAAATGAATCGGGGGACACATTATGTGCGCGCGCAGGACTGCGTTGCGGAAGGAGGCAGTGTTGGCCGTGTAGCGCATACCTTTCTCGCCCTGGCTGAACGCCACCGACTTGAGGCTGCACTGGTGACCTTTGAAGGAACCCAGGGCCTCCCCGGCACACACGTCCCAAAGCTTGGCCATCTGGTCACCCGAGGCCGTCACCTGTCGGGGATTGGCGGATTAACAAGTGTTGCCTTCACTGCAACCAACGGTCCGTTCTGACGCTAGAAGGGCCGTGTCACGATCCCGGATGTACATTTCCTACGCGTGAGGGCATTATACTATTAAAATATATATTCTCATCATGAGTAATTATTATCGTGCTTTGACATCTCAATGCAATAAACACACACACACATTCATGCCAGACTCATTATATGTGGGTGTTATGCAAGGCTGCTTCCGAGACGTTTCCTTACGAGTTAACTTTAAGCATCATTGTCAGTATCATCAGCAGACATTATTCATCCAATGCTGGATGAAGGCCTCCCTAAGCCTTGAGCAGTTTTGACAAATTTAAGTGGAAATACTCCCGGTGCTTTGCACTGGTTTACATGTGGGTCTGTTCTTAAATCCACAGCCACTGTTGGTTATTTCGACCTCTGAATATTGCAAGAGGGCCCCCCCGCGTTGCGCATCTATGAATTACTTACGAGCTTAGATTCTCCGGGCATCCAGGCGCAATCGAAGACAGCATTTGAATGAGCCAGCCAAGCTGAAATACAGGCGTAACGAACGGCATGTCAGTTACGGTGACACACACACACACACCACATCAATTCTCGACCTTTAACCCCCGCCACCCCACCACCCCCTCCAGGGCAGGATTGCCAAGATGAAGAAGAGTAGTGCGGCGAGTACCTTTGAGCACTCTGCTGCCCTTGTGGGGTTTCTCCGTGTCGTAGATCTGCACCACACCGTCCTCGCTGGGCACGGCCAGCAGGTGGTGGCTACCGGCCTCTGCGCAGACGGAGCGAGTGAAACGTCATTGCACAGGTGGGACTGCAGGGAGGGCAGCACTTGGGCTGCAGCACTCCCCAGTGGCAACACACAGACATGCGTGGGCTACTGAAACCTTTTGAATGTATGTAGAACTTCTTCCGCACCGTACGTAGGCGGACGTGCTAATTGGAGGTGGAATGATAACAAACTAAACGCACGACGAATAAAGGAGACTTTGCGAATGTCATCGTTGCACCGCTGCGAGTTAAGCGCAATAATTAGTGATTAAATTACAAGTGTCAACTTACTGTGTTGTTTTTGTATGCTTTAACCGAATGCAGTTTAACGTCTTTTCCTGTCTAAGCTGTCCTTTTATTTTCCGTAAATTAATATTTGTGAAAGCACTTATAATTGTTTACTTTGTCTGCACGAGTTATTAGTCCACCCAACACACCGTTGTGCTGTACTAGTGACGAATTGTCACGTTATGTTTACGTGACAACCCTTACTAGTTGGCTGTGTCGGGTGGTGGCGGGTTTAACGACACATTTATATATTTACGCGATCTACGTGTTAAACCGAGTTATTAGTCTCCGTTACTTCTCTGACCGGCAGGTCGGTTGAAGCATACACTCCTTGCAAAAGGATTCAGTTTGGTGTTTTAACATTTTAACACCCGTTTCATTGCCAGAAAGGATAAAACCAATTCTTATACGGTTGAGAACATTCGGTCACCGTGACGTTTGTCGTATTTTCGCACGTAACAAGGAGGAGGCCGAGAAGATGATCACCTTTGTCTTGCCCCCTCCATAAGTGAGGCTAATAAAAGTAAAATAAAATTAAATTTGTTTACCTACGTGACTTTACCGAAAAAACCTAAGAATATGAATACTTGCAGTCACGAAAGCTTCAAATCTAGAATTGAGGCTACCTCCTCAAGAAAAGGGGCATTACGGGAGCTGCCTAATTGTGACTGAAGTGAAGTGCAATCCATCACTCGCATCAATGACCAGTGGCTAATAACGCGCTTCTGCGGGAGGCACAAACGGAGTTCATCATGAATTTTTTTTTAGTTTTAGCCATTGAAATGTCACCGAGTCGTGGTTTACCAGTGAGTTGGCCTCGAGTGATCGTGGCCAACCCCGCGCTAATCGGAGGTGTTGGACAACAAACTAAATACCAAAAGCAGTTCTAAAGAAATAACTTTTCAATATAGATAATTTAAAAGCGCATAGCTCCAGTAGCTTGCTAATATCGCAAGTAAGAGCGTTCCAGACGGCCGCAGAAGCGCCTCTGAAAGCGTGCGATGCAGGAACCGTCTTTGCTCCACTACCGACTTTGAGCGGATTTCGCTTGACGGTTTATGCTCCTTGAGATCAGCAAGGTATTGTGGCACGTTTGTGGCACGTTTGTGGCAAGCACTTTGTGTGTAATGAGTGCGACCGTGGCGGGGCAGCAGGCAGGTGATGACTGCGACGTTGAGCATGGAGGAAATCTCTCGATACCTCGCGAGAAGGGGCATGCGAAGGCAGGCACCGGGTCGCCCGCCGTGCCGAACACCTTGTGCTCGTCCGGTGCGCGGCACTCGAATCCCAGCAGCAGGGAGTCAAGGGGACAGCGCGAGGAGGGCCCGACTGGGATGACAATCACGGGGGTAGAGGGTTGCGTGGGGGCGTCACATCAGCGACCGTCACTCGAGCAGCTGTGCCATGGATTTGGAAAGCGATTAAGTGCAAGAGAGCGCACGCTTGGCAGAATGCACACGGGTTAATAAGGCTTTAAAGCAATACGAGCACATGAAAAAAATGCTGCCGTTATGCTCACAATGCACACTGCTACGATCTGAAGGCTTCACAATTAACGAGGCTCGTTATTTATCGGAAGAGGAAAACAAAACACTTTGTGATTATTGCACGTACGTATGTTGAACTTCTTTCGCACAGTACGTAGCCGAGTCTGGAAAGACTCATACTCTTTGGCGAGTACGCGAATGAGTGTTTGGCGCGCGGGAGGAAACCGGCGTGCAAAAGCTCAAAGCTGCGCACAGATGGATACAAGAATCCATAGCCGCACTGTCATCTCTCTCGGACGTGGCGCAAACCCTACCATGCGTATTTTTCAGACGGGCTCCCATCCACATTACACGGTCGTGCGCACATCTCATTGGCTTCCGAGATGGGAATTGGGGGGCATTTTGGTGGGAATGCGACCGCGCTATATACACACACCGATTAACTGGGTAAAGAGGGGACTTCGTGCAACACCATGAGAGCTGGCGACAAGCCAGGCGATGAGTGTGAGAAGCAGTGGGATGATAGTTCGGTTGCTGATGATGTTTAACACGTAGGCTTTCGCGACCAATATAAACCATAATTACAGGTTTTTTGGGGTTAGATTACGTACGTATGTGTCGTTAAACCCGCCATCACCCGACACAGCCAATTGGTTAAGGTTTGTCACGTAAACATTTACAGTGTTTTGGATGTACTCTCCAACACACCGGTCGTGCTGTACCAGTAACGAATTGGCATGTTCCGTTCACGTGACAAAACCTTCCTAATTGGCTGTGTCGGGTGTTGGCGGGGTTTAACGACACATTTATATTTACGCGATCTAACCCCAAAAAACACTCCATTATTGCTGCTGCTATTAAAAGTTTTTCTTTACGGCATTCAAAAAAAGAACGGCTCTTCTTGTTACCTTGGTTAAGACCATGTACGATACAGCGATTTGTTGAATCAACTACCTACAACAACGGAGTTAACCCACGCTCTATGCCCGATTTGCCTGCCACGAGCTAACTTCAACAGTGATAGTGTTGGCGAAGTTTATCTTAACTTCTTCTTGGTTCTTTCGGTAAAGTCACGTAGAAGGGAAGTAATAAAATAATAAAAATAAAACATAATAAAATAATTCTCCCCGACAGGCCTGGTTTTTACCTGAGGACGGCTGCTTGCGTTGTGGCCGAAACGTCGTGAGAATTATTTTATTATGTTTTATTTTTATTATTGTATTACTTCCCTTCTACGTGACTTTACCGAAAGAACCAAAGAGTATAGAGTCAAACAAACCACCATAAACCGACTCGGCCTAGAGAAACCCCCCTCCATTCAGCAGCAGTGGTGCTACAAAAGGCTGTAATTTAACTTATTTAAATAATAAGGGTACAGAACTATATGACAAAAAAACACACGAACAATGTAATACTTAGGCAATTATAATACTACGCATGCGCAGATCGTAGTTGTCGCATGGCCCGCACTGTACTACAATACATAGAGCATCATCCACTGCTGGATGGAATCACCATCCTCTTGCAACGCGAGCAGATTTAATCGCTCCATCTCCCCGGCGGTCGTGATCATCCATCGTGGACGCTTTGCGTTCTTCGATGGTGCGTTTGTTATATGCACTGCACCGACAACACGGGGGTTCGTCCCAAGTAATGGCGCGCAGTACAGTCACTCACCTTTGTTCCGCTTCGGGATGTGTCGGTTGTAAACGCTCTGAAACAGCGAACTACGAGCCATTTGCAACAGCGGGGGTCCAGCAGCCACGCAAGAGGAACAGCACAAAACACTGAGACGGAGAATCAGACAATTCCCGCGGCCTCAACAACCAAAACTTTACTGCGCAAATGCGCGCAAAATCTTCTCCCGCCTCCTCTAGAAACGCCGCCGGCGATTAACACGCACAAACAAAATCCACTTTCCCGCCACCAAAGTTCCCGCGAAATTCGATAGGCGCTCGCCGATTGGTCGAAGCGATTTGGCGGGAGATGACGTCACGCCTCATTGGATTGGCCACCCCGCACTGCCCCCGGAAAGGGGGGGGGGGTGTGGATCTCTCGACCAATCAGACGGCGTCCTCAGTCACGCGGAGAAAGTGTATCCGGGTGCAGAGGTCGACCGAGTGTTCGCGTTTGTGGTGAGTAGGCCGCAACCAATCTTGTCACTTGAAGTTTGATTTATATTTTTTTAACTTAAACATCGTCGTAGTCGTCGTTTGTATTTTAATGCGTCTTCCCTAAGTGAAGAATTCCACTTGGTACATTGTTGCACGTTGAGTTTGAGAAAATTGGGTATTTAACACCATCCTGCATTTACGTTCACGTCAGTAATTGTTGATGAAAGCAGTTGCCATCTAACGCAACGATGGAGAATAAGCTTAAGCACAGTACTGTGAATACCATTTGGTTTGCCCATGTTTGTTTGTTGTAGTACGGAGTAAGACTGATGGCCTTAATCTAAGTTGTCTTGTGGTTGTTGTTGTTGTTGTTTGACTTGCATCCCACTGGGATTTGTGCACAGCGTTGGTGTACGGTGTTTTTTGTGGAATATTTTGCTGTCTTTTCTTGGATTTTCTGTTTGCACTTAGTCACATATTCACTTTAAGATGTTTTCTCGTTCATGTTTTTTGGTTGTTGCGGTTGCACCCGATTCAAGAGCCGAATGGCTCACAGGGCTATACTTAATAAACCAACTTGAGCCTCATCCCTTCCCCGTCTACAATAAAACACTCAAGCGAGCCATCACTCTTCACCCCTTCACAAAAGTTGTTGATGACAGGTGATTGCACTGGGAAATGGCCTTGACGTGCCGTCTACGCGCTTTAATGCTGGAGGACATGCTCTCGTTTCAGTGTGACTCAGTGTGCTGATCCCACGGCGTGCGTGCCTGCTGCGTCTCCACATCACCAACGATGGCGCTGGCAGCGAACAGGGCCTTGGCCGGAGACACCGTGTTGGGCGAGCAGGAGATGGACGCCAACTCTGCCCTAATGGAGCTCGACAAAGGTCAACTCTTCTGCCTTTTTTTCTTCTTGGTTCTTTCGGTAAAGTCACGTAGAAGGGAAATAAAAAAATAATTATGATAAAACTTAATAAAATTACAATTCTCACGACGTTTCGGCCACAACGCAAGCAGCCGTCCTCAGGTGAAGAACAGGTCTGTCGGAAAGACAGCGTCTGAATGAGCACCACCATGCTTGGCAGCGTATATTTAAGCTGGGTTATGGGGGAAGGGCGCCTTGACAAAGGAATTTGCATATCAAGAGGAATTTAGCATATTTATGGAAAATGCAGATATGGGATTAGTCACTACTTGTGGTAAACTACATCAGAATCATCAATATACTAAATATACTCTCCAATAAGCTGAGCTACTAACAGTAGTCTTTTCTACATTGTATTGCGGTCGTGCTATAGGCATGGATGTATGCTGGACTTCTTTCGCACCTTACGTAGCCAACCGTGCTCATCTGAGGACAACAAACTGAACCCACATCACGGCATGAGACGAGCACAACAAGCCTGTGCAGAACTCTCTTACATCCCAGGTCATAAACCTGTGGCAGTGATTGGCCTCGTAAGATGACGGTCACACCGCTGCATCTGAAGGTCACTTCAGTCGACCTCCTTGTCAACTTTCGGGGCCACAGCTTTTAACGTATTGTGCTGGATTTGTCAGTTTCCAATTAAACACGCATATTTTATATTCATCGATCTGGAATTAATCAAATATAGTAAAATCCTTAATTTTTTTACCATAATAAGTAATAATTAATCATACGAATATAAAATCAAATCCAGAATAGCTTCATGAAAGCTTTCAGGAGGTTTCTGCTTTGGGATATTTGGCGTGTTCGTTTTTAGTGACTCTTTTACATGTGGGAAGAAACGGGACCACTGAGCAGGCGTGGGGGTTTCACGACACGTCAATCCTTGCCTCGAAAGCACTGGATCACAAGCATGTGCCACCACCCCAATGAGTCAAGGATGACAGCAGAAAACAGCGTGTTATATGAACGTGATCTTGCACGCATATCCCAGATTGAATGTGCTCATGTGGATGATGACCTGTAATCACAGGACTGCGCTCCGGGAAAATTGGGGAGCAGTGCGAGGCGGTCGTCCGTTTCCCGGGCCTGTTTGAAAAATATCCCTTCCCGATACTCATCAACTCGGCCTTCCTCAAGCTTGCTGATGTCTTCAGAGTGGGGTGAGCCCACACAAGTAAAGCATCACTCTCGCTGCCGAATAGGGGTGGAATGATGTATCGATTTATTGATTAATATTTATTGTTATGCTCCCAATACATGTGTAGTGAATCATTTCAAAGACACTATTAGGAGGCAACAACGTTTATTCTACACTTTACACGACACCGTTACACACGGACTAATACGCCTGTCTCTCACTCTTGTTACCCACGGGACTATAATACACCGATCTCTTTCCTATACGGGATAACTACAATCGGGTCAGAGTAACCACGGGTTATCTGACCCATGATGTCGAAGATGGAGACGAAGACATAGACGTAGCACCTCGGTTCCACTTCACCCACGGACAGCCCCGACATGCGATCGGGGCTCCCCTTTTATCCCTCTCGGCGCGACTTGGCTCCACCCTCGGCAGCCGCCCCCCTTCTCGAGCGTTCCCGAAGGTTCCCGACCTTAACCACGCCCCCCTCAGGAACTCTCCAGAAGCTTCTTGGCTACACTGCCCGTGTCCCCTCGGTCACCTGTTCCCCATACCCCTCACCCCGGCCCATCACGCGCTTCACCCAGAGCCGGGGTGACCCGTCCTCACATCCCCCGTCCACCAGCAGCCCTCACCACGTTCGCTCGTGACCAATTCTGCGGAAATTACTCGCTGCGCTGGCGGAGTGGCTGCTATTCCTTATTCTGTCCGTGGGTTCCTTTGGCTCTTCTGCTACCACGCCCCCAGTGACCCACTATGGTACTGCACGATGTGCTAACCCCATATTTCCTTGTTATACGGCACTATGCACTACGCGCCATAGTAATCCATTTTACATCACTTTCACATGTATAGACTCATCTCTATTGTTATATTTGTATTTTCTTCGTAAATGTATGTACTACAATGCATTACCTCTGCGCCAACTGAAAGGGCTACCATTCGCAGTAGTGTAAGAATAATAATCGATTGTTAAATGAAATTGTAAACCTGAATCGCGAATATTTAATTTAATTTTATGGAGGTCAATCATTTAATTGTCAAGTATCACCGGCAATGAGTATTTGGTGAGGAAAGCTAATTTTATATGATTAAACATGTTGTATGTATGGTGAACTTCTTTCATTCCAAACGTAGCCAACCTTGATTATTTGAGGCGCGGGGGAAGGACTACAAACTAAAGAAAAAAAGCATTTGTTAAGAAATTAATTTTCAATCTGTATTTAAAAGTACATAGCACAAGTAGCTTCCTAATATTGGTGGTAAGGGCGTTCCAAATGGCCGCAGCAGCGCATATGAAAGCGCACGATGTGGTGACCGTTTTTGTTTGATGGTTCGCCAAAAGCCGCTGCGAGGATGACCGAAGTTTACGCGATGGTTTATTCTCCTTGATGAGTAAAGGCTGTTATGTGGTGTGACGCACACACTAACAAGGGGCGTCTCTTTCCCAGAAACAACTTCCTGCGGCTATGTGTGCTGAAGGTGACACAACAGAGCGAGAAGCACCTCGATAAAATTCTCAACGTGGACGAGTTTGTCAAACGGATTTTCTCCGTCATTCATAGCAACGACCCTGTGGCCCGTGCCATCACTCTTCGGTGAGCGAATGCTATGAGCTGCTGTCAACCTTGCTCCATTCCTTCTCCTGACATGAACACCTCAATGTGATTATGTGCCGAAAAAATACAGCTCATATCAGAGAGAGCAGTGAGAAAGAGGAATACTGTTTATGACAAATAGAGGTAATTAATTATCTTGCCTTATTTTCTTAACACATTTGCGGTATTGAGGATTGAAACAGTAACACTTGTGGATCAGAGAGCAAATGCCAGTTATATAGATATATTGATTGTTAAGAAAAGTAAATGCACTTAGGCAGGACCTGTCGCTAAAAGGTTTCATGACCATGGGTTGAGACTAACAAGAAAGATGGAATGATGAGATCAACTTGTTTGCAGAAGCTAAATGGAAATTTGCATTGCAGAACTCTGAGCTGGCAATGACTTAGGGAGGCTTTCATCTAATAGTGAATAAGTCAAGGCTGATCACGACGATGATGATGATTATTATTATTTCTTTTTTATTTTATTTTCATGCCTTACTGTGACTGGTTTGCCATGTGTGTGCCGAGCGTAGGATGCTGGGCAGCATCGCGTGCATTATCCCTGAACGCAAGAACGCACACCACAGCATCCGCGAGAGCCTGGATTCCAATGACAACGTGGAGGTGGAGTCCGCCGTGTTTGCCGCCACTCACTTCTCGGCACAGTCCCGGTACGCGCATTGTCAATCAACCAAACCTGACTTGGTCGGCATGCTGTGATGTGTGCCGGTGTGTTTGGCGGCCAAGGTTTGCTGGCCCAAGGCGATTTTGAAACTACCAGACATCTCTTTCTGCTTCTTTTTCTCGCACTGCTCAACTTTGGAATTTCCTGTCATTGTCTCTTTCCAACTTTCTTACTGACTTCCTCAGTAAAAATAAATATATTAATCTCTTACACCTTAATTTCTAGTGTTTGTTGATGTCTACTTGGCATTTTGTCCATTTGGGCTTGTGCTCAACAACTGTCATTTAAAAATTAAATTATAACTTTATCACTAGCAGATTGCAGTACAGAAATCTAGTCGGTCAACCCATTATGCAGACGTATAAATGTTATCCCTTTGCACACCACATGGGTTTTCTCTGAGTAGTCCGGATTCCTACTGCATAGCACTCCTGGGAAAGGAATTGGTCAAATATCCCAATGAAGGGACCCTCCTGAAATTTGTACTTCAGCCTTTCCTGTGTAAACATCTTTAACTATCATGACCAGGTAATGTAATCAATTAATTATAAGCAGATAAGACCGCTTAACCTTCGGTGATATCAGTGGTAAGTGATATTTGAACCAGTCTCGGGCCCCTGTTTCTCCATCCGGCACTGACCAAGCAACCCCCTCGTAACTGAAATGGCATCTTGGTTCTTTCGGTAAAGTCACGTAGAAGGGAAATAATAAAATAATATAAATGAAACATAATAAAATACAATTCTCACGACGTTTCGGCCACAACGCAAGCAGCCGTCCTCAGGTGAAGAACAGGTCTGTTGGAAAGACAGCGTCATTCAGACAGTCTGTCTGAACAGGTCTGTCTGAACAGGTCTGTCGGAAAGACAGCGTCATTCAGACAGACTGTCTGAATGATGCTGTCTTTCCGACAGACCTGTTCTTCACCTGAGTGTCTGAATGACGCTGTCTTTCCGACAGACAGACTGTCTGAATGAAGCTGTCTTTCCGACAGACCTGTTCTTCACCTGAGGACGGCTGCTTGCATTGTGGCCGAAACGTCGTGAGAATTGTATTTTATTATGTTTTATTTGTATTATTTTATTATTTCCCTTCTACGTGACTTTACCGAAAGAACCAAGAAGATGAATCCCTGCAGTCACGAAAGCTTTAAATGGAAATGAAATGTCATCGGCGGGGCGGGGGGGGGGACCTTCATCCAGCGGTGATTTGACAAAGGACTGGCATTTTTTAAGAGCACTTAAACGTGCTCTTTACAATGTGTGGAATTGCAATAATATGACATTTTTTTCAGGAAAGAGCCCATTGAGGCCAGAAGTAAAATTTGTAAAAGAGACTGGGTCATAATGAATACAATAAAACACCCGACACCTGCCATGTTATCTTCTCTTTGTTCATTATATGTAATATTTTCCATTTTATAATTTAATGATTTCTTATTTTAGAGACTTTGCTGCAGGGATTTGCAACAAAATTGGTGAAATGATTCAAGGTAAGTGTGGTACATTGCACTAAATTGGATTTTTTTTAAAGGGATGTAATAATTTATTGATTTATTGTTTTTAATATGGGTATACCACTATAGTTTCATCATATGCCAGAAGGACCAACAAGTAATGCGTGAACTTAATCATGACATTTCATAGAGGGTGCTTTAATTACTTCACTAATGTTATCAATTAAAATTACATGAGTAAAATGTTTAATCATAAACATTAGAATATCAAAACGTGTGTTCATGGACTTTAAGTGGTTCATAATAAACGTTTTTAGGTTAGATCGCGTTATTTATGTGTCGTAACCCTCCACCACCCGACACGGCCAATCAGCAAAAAAGTGTCACGTTGACAAAAGACAAATAGTTCACTGCTTTAGCCCACCGGTGTGTTAACGAGTGAAACTACAACATTTACAATTTTGGCGAATTTCCCGATGATGCTGGATGCAATTACCAGCGAAACGTCGTACACACCGGTGGACTAAAGTAGTGAACTATATGTCTTTTGTCAACGTGACACTTTTTTGCTGATTGGCCGTGTCGGGTGGTGGAGGGTTACGACACATTTATAAATAACGCGATCTAACCCAAAAACGTTTATTATGAATAATATTGGTCGTGAAAGCCTACGTGTTAAACTGACTGTAAGTGGGTTTGCATTTACACTTAACCGTGCTGCTCGTCGTTGATGGGACGTGAAAGGGTGGCTCGGACATCACAACACCGAGTTGGCTCTAAGGTCCTGGGTTAGAGCCGCCCATTATTAGACTGCGATCTCAAGCATAGGGAGTTGATGGTCTCAGCCCATTCGCCAGTAACTCCACGTAAAAAAATTACATTAAATACAATTATACCTTAATTTGGTTAATATATGAGCTCTGATAGCTAAAAACATTGTTTTGAGTGTCACGTGGCTAATATTGCTCTGCAGCAGGGCATGTGGAAAAGTGCATCGCTAGTGTGAGGATAAAAAAAAAGTTACTCAAACAGATTTCAAAAGAAGTTCTGCAAAATTTGCTTTTGCGAGCCATCCTATTATACACGGTTTGATGAACTGCTTTTCGAGAGCAGTATATCGCCCTGTGTGCCGCACTGCTTGGCAAGCATTCGGAATAGATACTTCATCTCGTGTCACGACGCCCATAGCTGCAATTGTAACAATGAAAAAGTAATGATACCAAAAACATAACTGAGCCTGCTTTGCTCCTGCTTGCGCACAGGACTGGCGACGCCCATGGAGCTGAAGATGAAACTGATCCCCGTGTTTGAGCACATGCACCACGATGCGGGAATGGCAAGCGGAGCGAGGCAGCTGCTCCAGCACCTGGCAGCCGCCTACCCGGCCACGGCAGTGCTCGCCGTGACGCTGCACACCTCCACACGCCTCTCCTCCTCCGCCCTCATCGACATCCCCAAACAGGTGTGCGTGTTTGCGCTTGCGCTGGCACCACAAGGGGCATAGCTGGTGCATCTTCCAGTCATCTCAGTCAACTCATGGCACCTGGGTCTGTCCCCATGACCTGTCAGCGAGCCTTCGACACTTCACTTGGCCTCAAAGTGCACCCAGTCTGGCACAGCGATTAGCACGCTGTGCTTCGAACCCGGCGACCCGAGTTCGATTTCCGCTCACGGCCAACATCGGTGACAATTATTAATCCACTGCTGGAAGAATGCCTGCCCATGCCGCGTCGGTCACGTCGGTTTATTTTACAATCCTTCACCACACTGATCACTGCAGCTTTGTGAATTACAATCAGAATATGTATTTATACTGGAGGAGTCCGATGAGCTATGAAGCTCTTTTTCCACAGGTGTCCAGTAAAAAGGGGACCCAGATTTGATTTCACTCCCCTGAATGAAGTTAGCCATGGCTGGGAACCAAACTTTGCAAGGTGTACTAATCACTGCACCACTGCTTCTACCACTTGTTCTGTATAGTGATCAGTAACCCACAGAATATTTGTAGAGTGCTTTATGTAGAAATCTACTGTAAGGCACTTAATGGCATATGCTTGCATAGGAACAGCACATAAAACAACCTTAATGCACTAAGTGCTTGCATCTGCATGTTTCAGGCACTTAAAAGGATGCCAGACGGCTCAGGGGACTAATGCCTTGTCACAGCAAACTGAGCCGGCTGCATCAGAGTTGGGGCCAGCATTAATTAATGTGTAATGAGTCTGATGGTGTTAGACCAGTCACCAATAAATAATTACACAAACCATAACATGAAAATATTGTTTAACTTAATTTGGCATATTACAGCTGTGAGAATGGATACGTTTTGATTGCCTTGCAAAGTAACCTCTATGCGGATTTTGTGGGATTGTATACTACTCGGTGGATAAGAGGCCTATTAACTCGACTTCTGATGTAGTTCTGTGAAGTTATCCTTTGGGATCGTCTGCCACAGAGGGGTGAACTGGTTGCGAGAGTTCCATTTCATGACAGAATTATTTTAGCACAATAGGAATATAATTGGTGAAACGAGAAAAACATTTCAAAATAAATTCTTCCCCTGTGCGTGTAGATAGAGTTATTGCTACAGTATCTTCAGCAAGACCCACGGAAAGTGATCAAGAGACTCGCGATCAAGGATCTCAAGCTTTTGGCAAAGAAGGTGCCTCACATGTGGAGCATGCAGGAGATCCAGGTAACGTGACATCACTGCTTGTGTGAGAACGCAACAGGAATGTGTTTTGGACCTGCGCTGCGAACTCACACGAGCCTGCACTGTGTCTGCTGCCCAGGTCATATGCGAATGCGCCCTGCAGACTCCGTACGACAGCCTGAAGATCGGCATGCTTTCTGTGCTGTCCACACTCGCCGATTCCATTGCCGTTACCAACTGGTTCACTTCAAAAGGTGCGCTTGAGTTTCCGTCGCTAAACATTGCAAGCCGACGAACACCCTTTCCATATTTACCATGGTCACGTTTTGGGAAAACAACACCAATAAAATCTACTATGTGAAAAATTACAATAATTGGTCGTTAAGTCACTGCATGTACTTGAGTAATTGTGAGCACGCAGAGTTGAGTAATGGCTCATTCGGAGCAGAAAGTGCCATGAATTAATAGTTTAGACCAAGGGTCAGCAACCTCGGCTCCGGAGCTGCATGCAGCTCTTTAAGGACTGCTTCGTGACATTTTTTTTTATTCACAACCGTCTCATATTCACATGCATTGCGGCTCTTGAAATATTGAGTTTTTTTACCGAATAAAAAAAAATATATATGGCTCTATACCAGGGGTTGCCGACCCTTCATATACACAATGATCTGTATACGACCTTTGACCTAATTAACAAAAAACTATCACCAAAGTTATTCACAACGCTAATCTTATTGGGTTTTAGAAATCTCTCATTTTTATTCCTGTGATTTTTTATTGAGAGTTGAGAATATAAAAAGATAAATATACAGGTAACACGACGTGTACCTTTTTAACGTATCCCTATGAGTCACTTGAACAAAAAAATGAGGTCAAAGTGACTTGAGTGGTAGGGAGCGAAACCTAATGAAGCTTTAGTTCACTCATGCTATGCAGCTTTATAAGGGAGTATAGTAACTACAAAAATAGTAGTGCTTATAAATAAGTAAAAAGATTTACCCCAATAATAGTATAGCCTAGTAGAAATGACTAAAACGTATTATTTCAGTCAGCATTATTTTTTTATTACTTCATTGAAGATGCTGCGAAATGAAAAGCACATTACAGTACATAATTTAAAAGTGGCGAATATGAACAAAACTCCACAAGTAGCATGTCAGTTGAAGAAACTGTGACTCCAAAAGGAGACGACAATCAGAGACTATCTTTGATAGAAATAAGGCAGGAGGTCAGAGCAGAGAAGAACATTGTGTTTCAAGGCAATTGGCCAATGTTTTCTTTCAACATTCGTTTAAGCAGACGAACACACGGCAAGCACACACCATGAACCGGTTTCAACTTTCAGAATCTCAACGAGAGTCATGTCCGCGCGCGCGCGTGTGTGTGCCCTGGTTGTTGATGAGTTATACGTTTTGCTTTGCTTTTTTTTTCCTCCCTCTCTCCTTTTCCCTCCTGCGCGCTCTGCTCTTCGTGTCACTCGATCTGACACGAGAGCAGCGGTTCTGTTGGCGTCCGGCCCCCTTAGCACCCTCCTTCGGCTGTGCCAGGAGTGCTGCTTCCACGACAGCCTCGCCATGGCAGCCCTGGCGGCCACCACGCTCACCAGCTTGCTTGTCGCCGCACAGGACTCCCCAGGTACGTAGACGAAATGCACCTTAAGGTGAGCACCTCCGCTTCAGCCCGGTTGGCTAAGTGCGGTGCGAAAGAAGTTCAGCATAAACACGTACGTGCATAGCATCCTTATGCACGACAAAACACAGTCAATAAGGCATTGCTTGATGTGAGGCGCGCAATGACGCATTGGTGAAAATTATACGTACGCTGGCAATGCGTGAATTGTTTACTTTGTACATTTGTTGAACTTTTTAGCACCGTACGTAGCCAACTGTGTTCTTTTTGGAGGTGCGGGGGAAGAACAACAAACGAAACACAAAAAGCAGTTCTAAAGAAGTAAATATCTTCCGTGGGAGAATATACATTTCTGTGCATATGTGCTTATAACACAATAGATTGTATAGGCTCATATACAGTATAATACCTATCTTATTTGCACTGCCAGATGATGGCCTCCACTCTGCAGGCTATGGGGGTGTGTCCGGGGTTATTGGACCGTATTTCACCATGCTGGTCATTGGTCGGTTGGTGAAGGCGGATACCATTTATGGTGGAGCATAGTAGAGTACAACAATCTTGATTTAGAAAATATACCCCCCTCCCCACAACAGCCTACAACACCTGCTTTATGCATGGTGGTTGCCCATCCAAGTACTATGCAGGCCCAACCCGGGCTCAGCTTCTGAGACCCGATGAGATGAGGTGATTTCTGGATTGATTGGTCAAAGTCTCAATCCTTTAACACTAGCATCACATGTAAATATTAAATTCTCCACAAAATAAAATATATTGCTCCATTTACAAAATGATCACCCCCTATATTGTGATAGTTGGTAAATATTGGAGGAGGTTAAATCATTACATCCCTTCTTTATATGCTATAAAGATGGTGATGGTTAATAATTAATCTGTTTGAAGTCCTTACATATCATTAAAGGTCCAGTAACATGATTTCACAATACCAGTTGTCTTATAGTAATTTTACTGAATCTTCTGCCCATGCAGCGATGCGTGTATGCGTGCATAACTTATTTCGCACCGTACGTAGCCAACCGTGCAAATCGGAGGTGCGCGTTTTATTTGTTGCCAGATGGAGATTCTCTGCAGTTGGAAGTATCGTCTGCGCTGGAGTCTCTTCTTGTGTCGGCCAGTGCGGAGGAGAGCCCTGACTGCCAGACTGCACTCAAGGTTCCTCTTTAACCCTGTACCTGATGCTCTACTTGACTCTTTACTGCTGTCCAATGCTCGCTACACCACTCTCGTATGTTATTGATATTTAACAGAGAAACATAATTTAAAGCTTTCTTGTTATAAAATGCAGGGCGCAATTAAAAAATACTGAAATTTCGGGACCATGCTCCCTGCTTTGGGAAGTTTCTAAATCCACCTCTGCCGTACTCCAGCATGTGCTTTTCACGTAACCGTTTGTGCAATTCATTAAGTTGGAAGCATTTTAAAAGGACTTCAAACAATACTCCGATATTGTGTTTAAAATGCTTATTTTTACAGTAAACTCTTTACTTATCCACATTGTAGCACCATGTGCATTCATAGACTTTATGCATATAATACCACCACTCCACACTGCAGGGAAGTAGAGCTTCACATTTAACCTAATATTGTGTGCATTCTCAAATGAGCAACTAATGTCATTTTCTGTCAGCCCTGAGGCCAGTTGTGAAAATTTCACATTCCCGTTGTAGAATCCAGACTCTGCATGGTACAATCAACGTCGATTTCCCACAAAGTGATATTCATTGTACCAACCTTGGAAGGATTGTTATAGACCGAGTCAAATCCCGACTGGGATTTTAACTTAGTGGGTTGACGTGAAGAAAGGATGAGTGGTGATAGGCAGCCACACACAGTGCTGGAGGGATTACAAGCCAGCTCAGGAGGACGTGGCAGAATCGGGCATCGGCTGGGCAGGCAGCATCAACGAATGGCTCAAGGAGGAGTGGGAACAGAGAGAGAGATCAGGGGAAGAAGAGCAGAACACAACAACTTGGCAGCAGCGGAGCATTAAGGCAGCACAAACGTGGACAGATTTATCGAAACAGTCGCGTAGAACAAGGGATTGAAAAATACATAAAACCAGTATATATACAAGGACTATTTTCTTGGAATTTCTCTCACTTGATACAGGTATCGTGCTGTGACGGTTCCACCTGAAGACGGAAGCTTGTGTTGCCTCCGAAACGTCGTGATTTTTATTTTATTTTTATTTTACTTTTATTAATTTTAATTTTTTACCTACGTGACTTTACCGAAAAAACCTAAGAATATGAATACTTGCAGTCACGAAAGCTTCAAATTTTGAAAAAATACATAAAAGGCTTATAAATCTGCTGATTCATCATCACCCACGTGTGGTGAGGTAAAGTATGGGTACTCCCACCCCTTGCAATACATTTCTCCAGCGCAAAAGAATAGGCTGAGAGGGGGCTCTCTAGAACGCCCCAAGAGTGCAGACACTTCCAGCAGCAGCAGTGGACGTGAGCACGTGTGTTTGCTTGTTGTAACTTATTTCGCACCGCACATAGCCAACCGTGCTAATCGGAGGTGCGGGAAGTAATCGCAGGGCTGCACCTTGATCCAGCATCCCCATGTTGGTTGAGATGAAAGCATCCATATTGATATACATGTGCCTCGCTCACTACTACCTTTCTCCCCCTACCCCACCCCAACCCCCCCGCCCACCTCTTTCGTAGTCGGTGCTCAAGTGCATGGTGCGCGTGTGTGGGGCGGTGCCGCGGCTGAGCTCCACGCTCGTGCAGGCGCTTCTGTGGCAGCTGCAGCCGGCGCAGGACGCGGCGCGCGCCCTCATCTGCCAGGGCCTGGCGGCGGCCGCCATGCAGAGCCCCGTGCTGGGGCAGGCGATGCTGGGTGACCTCGTGGAGCTGCTCGAAGCCGTGGGCCGCACGCCCAGCCCCGCTCAGCAGCAGCTTCTGGTACGTGGTGTGACCTCATCCCCGCTGCGGTAGCGTTTGGCTCCCTCGCAGGCCTGCCCGCAGCACGCCGTCAAGGCAAGCGCGTGCTCGCGCCTCTGGGATACGTTCATTACACACACACAAAGTGCTTGCAACAAATGAGAACCGCAATGCCTTGTTGATCTCGTCAAGGAGCATAAACAGTCACGTGAACTGTGGTCATTCTCCAACACCCCCACTTCATCAAACCGCACTGACAGCCGTGGTGATGTTTGGTCAAGCAACTCCCATGACTGACACGGCCTTCATCCAGCAGCGGATTGACAAAGTACTGATAGCGAGAGAGCCACGTGGTGGTAGTGACCACAGCGGGCCCGTGGTACTTTTCTTAACCACGTCGTTGTGTCCACGTTTTTTTTCCCCCCAGGTTTCCGTGGCCACGGTCATATTTGTTGCCAATCAGAAGGTTTCATCGAGCGAGGTGAAGGCGGCGATCCGAGAACAGCTGGGGGCGGGCGCGAGTGGCTGGACAGTGTACCGCGTCGCCCGGCAAGCCTCCCGCATGGTGCGTGTCCTGCAGTCCACCCCCTCCCCCCCCCCCGCAACTACTTAAACATTAAAACGAAAGTTTTTATTTTACCAGATAAGACGCACTGAGCTCTATAGCTCTTTTATAGAAGCGACCGGGTGATCACAAATTATAGCTCAGAGAAGTAGCTCATGTGGAAATTTAAAGTAGCCAAATACGACATAGATCATTCCGGCAACGGTGGATGACTGCTGCCAGAAGTTTGTGGTCACTGCGGCCTCCGTAAAGTGGCTGGACGGGGGAGAACATTCATTGAAAATATATGTATGTATGTTGAACTACTTTCGCACCGTACGTAGCCAACCACACTAATCAGAGGTGCAAAAAACAAAATGATGTTGCGACAACCGCATCTGCTACGACAAATATTCTCAGAATCTGAATATTTATACTGGAGGAATCCGATGAGTTATCAAGCTCCATTTCATAGATGCCCAGTAGGGGTTGGCTCAGAAAGTTACACTCTGCTCTGGGGTGGAGCCCTTTGACCGAGCGACATTTGCGGGACCCGCAGGGCAACCACGATGTGGCAGCGGAGCTGTACCACGGCCTGCTGGCGGAGGTGGCCTCGGAGCACTTCTACTTCTGGCTGGGTGGCCTGGAGCAGCTGTCGCGTGGCGAGCAGTGCCTGTCCGCCGTGCGGGACGACGATCCAGGGACGGCACTGGGCTGCCTATCGCGGGCGCTCGTCAGCTACCAGCGCGGACTGGCGTCGCTCACCGTGCGTGCCACCTCATGCCCCTTTGGTTTTGTGAGATGTTTAAAATGTCACGTGCTTCTGAAGCCTCTGACCACATTACTCAGCATGCACCCAATCTCTTCAGATGTCGGCAGCTAAGGTGGGTTGAACCTTGGATAGTGCTTGGACAGGCGACCACCATTCCTGTCCGGTTCGCAGAGGGCTGTGGGGACGATGTGGTTGACAGTCGAGGGCAAATTAGCAAAGTGCATTACTTACATGCTTCCACAGCTATGTACTCCTCCTTCACCAACACACAGGGGGGGGGAGGACCTCGTCTTGCTGTTGTTTGACGAAAAGGCCTGTATGTGTACACGTTTCTTCAATTTTTCAAGTGTGTTTTTTCGTGATCACTTTTCATGTTTTCAAATAATTACAATTTTATTTATTAATTCTTACGCTTAATTTATAACCGGTTGAGAGCCCATTTTGACTAACCTAATTTTAAGAGAGACCTGCCGATAACAATACAGTAACCTTGATAAACGGTCAATTACAACATTGTATAGAATTTTAAATAATATGTTGAGTAAAATTCACCAACCCAAACTGACCAGTATGATCAAACAACCTCCATGAACCACATGTGGCATATGGAGGCCTTCATCTGGTACTGCTTTTAAAAGGGCTTTACAATTATTCAAGACACGAAATATATAGTCATCAATTGGTGATACTGCTTGACCAGTTTTTAGGCTGGGTGATGTTACTCCATCTGCTGGCCAATGTAATAATTCCATAATGCGTCTTTTTCGGTGTGTGACATATTTGTAGGGTATTGGCATTGTAAAAAGGAATTACTCATCAAATGAATGAGGACAGATGTGTGTGTGTGCATCCAATTACGTTACAAGTTTTCCAATGAGCCACGACTTGCCATAATCAACCCCAGCTTTTTAAGCTGATTCGTAATTGCGATTCATGCATCAATTGACTTTTGCCACTGCACCTCTGCACTCTTGCAATCACTTGTAATTTGTGCGCCGCGAGTCACTGACAGACACGTCGTGAAAAAGCACGACGCCTCCCGTTTGTGACCGTGACGAGCGAAGGTGCCAGCTCTCGCTCACGGTGACCGTTAACCCTTTCCCATTACCAATGAAGTACGTGTACTGGAACTGGTATAAAAACTAGAATAAAATAACTATCGGTACCGAGGCTTCCACAAGGCCATGCGGGAGAGCGTGTGGCATGGCACCAGCTCTCATATAATGCGGTCGTGTCGCTACGGTTTGCCGCGGTGAGTGCAATATCTTTAAAGACAACGGCGCTATGCCTCTCTAAATCAACTTAACGCTAACCACTTGCACGTTCCGAGATTCAGCGATGAACGGGACAATCACCCTGCAACTTGTAGACGTCTCGGAATGGGAATGGGTTAAAGATTTTTCAAATGCGACTCCTTTTTGGGGTCAGTCGACGTCACGTCCTGAATTAACCCCTCGCGCTCCCAACCCGCCAGGCGGCGAGCACGCCGCAGAACCCGCTGGTGTTCCAGTGCGAGTACGCCAAGCTGCGCGCGAGCAGCATGCAGGCCTTCTCGCAGCTCTTCTGCACGTGCAACAGCCTAAAGACGAACCCCCCGCCCGCCATCGCCACCGCGCTGGCCCTCAGCGCCGGGCGTGACCTCGCCTCCTGTGGCCGCATCTCGGGCCAGGTGGGTCCACGCTCCGTACGCACAGACAAGAGTGCGTCCTGGCCCTGCAGCGGGGCTCCGTCTGCAGAGCAAAGTCTTCTTTCTTAAATCCTTTATATTAAGTTCACTTGCTTGCTTGCGCGCTTACGACCGTGCAAATCTTTAGGTCGTGTTTTAACCCACTTCCCGTGATCCAATCGAACTGACATTTTGCACACAGACTCGTGCGTGACAATTTATTTTCGTGAATTTTTTTTTCCAAAATTTTACACTTTTTAGGTAAAAAAAATATATATTTAATTACCAATTGCTTAATGGTGGCAGGCAATCATCTGACCCATAGGTGGCAGCCATCTCAAGCCAGAGGACGAGACGACTCTAGCCGCCCGTTTCAAAGACCAATGTGGGCTGGGTTGTGGCTCATTGAACACGCATATAAAGTATTTATAGTGAAAAACTTTTTTTTTACAGGTACATTTTTTACGTTGTTCTTTCCTCAATGAAAATTGTTTTGGTCGTGTTTTCCAACTCTCGTTACATGTCGTGTTGCATATATATATATATATGAAGTGGCCAGGAGATGGCAGTACAGCAGTGGATTGAATCTCTTGTGCGGAGCCTGGAGTCGTTTTACCCTCTTATCCTATCGCTTTTTCCGGTGTGCCATACACTCGGTATGCGTGTGCGAGTACTCCACATGTGTGCCAAACACTCGTTAACATAATTGGCTAATCATTTCATTGCATGACCCTCTTAAACAAAATAGGTGTTAGACTTGCTAAGGCAAGTCTCAACAAAATACGTTATTATCATCATCATCATGATGATAGCGCTCAAATAAATAAGAGCAAATTATAAATTAAAGTACGTTTAAGCTTTGGAAAGTCGATTCATTGTCCTTTTGGTATTTGACTTGTCACATGCTGCCCATTGTTTCTTCACAATGAGTAGATGAAGCAGTGCATGGAGGAGTTCCGGAGCCTGGCAACGCGCTACAGCGATCTCTACCAGTCCTCGTTCGACGCCGACCCCGTAACGCTGCGCAACATCGAGCTGTATCCTTCTCCAGCCCTGCGCGATGCCCGGCTCTGCGCGGCACCATATGTTGAACTGTGGGAGAGCCCCTCCGGAGGGTATTTTTTTGTATTTTAACTCGTAAGACCCACTGAGCTTTATAGCTCTTTTTCAGAAGCGACCTGGCCACAAATGATAGTTCAGCGAAGAACCTTATTTGTAAATTTATATCAGCCAAACAATCTAAATGCATGTTTCTAAATGTAGAGGGAAAAACCGGAAGACCCGGAGAAAATTCCACACGACCACGGGGAGAACATGCAAACTCCACATACACGGGTGTCAGGGTCGGGTTCCAACCGACGACCTCCTGTACACGAGGCGAGGTAGTTAACATCTCGCCACCGTGGTGCCCGTATGATGTGGCTTACTCCATGCTGACCAAAACTTCTTGGAAGAGGTAGGAGTACTCGCACTCTACCCACCATATGTGACCTGCTAACTGCTGATCGACTATCTGCTGCACCCACTTGCACTGCTGAGTGGACAGAGGTGGAGGAAACAAAAAAAAACTTGCCACGTTGTTTCAAATGCCGCGCTGGGAGATCGAATTGGCGACCTGGATTGCGAGTCGAGTGTGCTCGACATTACGCCACTGTCGGACATATTTAAGTATTTTACTACGTAAATTGATTTATGTTTCACTTAATTCCTGGTGGTGAGGTTAATTAATTACTGTCATGCTCTTGAAATTCTTTGCACATGAATTACCGTGCCCGAAGATTTGTGTTCTCCGCAGTGTCAAATGATAATTGATGCAAAATGTAATCTCTTATCAATTGATGAAGTCCGCTGTTGTCCTTGACGGTTCATTCAGACATCAGCAGAGCTGTCTTCTAATTGCTTACGTGATCGATGCATTGATTATAAATCAGGAGCTGGGAAGGTGAGCTTTTCTTCACAATAATATATCTGAATTGTCGGTAAATGTGTACAAAGGGACACCAGTGACACAAGTTGGAATGCTGAAAGTTTCTACATTTCTAAAGTTGTATTTATGTTAATGTCCATTGGAAATCCACTGTTGGATGCAGGCCGCATGCCATATCAGTTGTAGGGGGTTTAACCATACTTTACCATCCTGATCGGTCCGGGTTGGTGATAGTAGGTGATGTCACAATACACAAAAACATTTTTGTTCGCTTATACCAAACTGCTTGTCTGGTATTTCGCTTGGCACATGTGTCACAACTCACGTGCCAAACCCCTCCCCCCACACACATTTTTTTACTGAAAGAACCAAGAATAAGTCTACATTATAGACTGCCAGGACGCTCACTCAGTTTAATAACCATTGCTACAGTCTACATCATAGACTGCCAGTACGCTCACTCCATTTAATAACCATTGCTACAGTCTACATCATAGACTGCCAATACACTCACCAGCTTAAAATCCAAACCACGTTACAGTCTACATCATAGACTGCCAGTACGCTCACCAAAGTTAAGAACCAGGCTACAGTCTACATTATGACTGCCAGTACACTCACCCAGCTTAATAACCATTGCTACAGTCTTCATTATAGACTGGCAGTACACTCACCAAACTTAATAACCGGGCTACAGTTTACATTATAGACTGCCAGTACACTCACTCTGATTAAGAACCAGGCAACAGTCTACATTAGTGTGTTTTTGTATTGCATTTTTATTATTTTTATTCACTTTATTTTTTATTATTTTTCTATCTACATGACTTTACTGAAAGAAGCAAAGACTATGAACACCTTTACATTACCGCATTGAGGCTTAAATTCTGGCCAACAGAGTGGGCCGATTCAAAAAGCTATCGCGGGGTTTTGTATGGCGGGCGCGTTCAGAGTTCTCCCCCCCCTTGCCGTTTGGGACACGCGGACCCACAGCTTCGGTGGCTACGGGCAGAGCGGGATGCACAAGGCGGAGAACGAAAGCGAACGGGCACTGCACGCGGCCTTCGATCAGGTCCTCCAGGATGTGGAAAGCCTGCACAGGAAGCATCCGCCAGTCTCCTACCAGGTGTGCACCGTCACACCAACCGTGACAACATACACTGCCCTTTGCAATGGGTGGAGTGGTGGCGCCAGTGGTTAGCACGCTGGGCTGCAGATGCATCGACCTCGGTTTAATTCCTGATCGCAACTAACATCAGTGGTGAGCGTCATCCTTGCCGAATCCCCACCCGCCACCCATCCCCCCGCCCAAAGTTTGGCCAAACAACCCTCATGATTTGTATGTGTATGTATGTTGAACTTCTTTCGCACCGTACGTAGCCAACCATGCTAATCAGAGGTAGTATATAGATAGTATATACATTTTAAAATCTCACTGCGTAGAATGTTCCATCTTAATGTTTGTGTGCTAATGTTCATGATGGCGCATTGAGTGGCAGATTCGTGCCAGAAAGAGCGAAAAAAATAATTGGCTTGACTTGGCTTGAGGCCAGTGTTTCTAAACTCCAGACGTTGCGATTCTCCCTGTTGCAGCTTTCCGTACTTACCAACCATCAGGTACATGCAATGTGCAGTGGCCTCATTTGCATACTGTCGCGAAAGATAAAGATGGGAAATCACGAGGTGGACCACGGTGGAGGTCATGAGGACTGGAGTTGAGAAATGCAGCTTTTCAACTAGCTATGACACACTCAGGATAATTTAAGAGCAGTTGTTGCCTACAATCGTCACTGGCGATGCATTTCACTGTGAGCAAGTATAGCAACTGAGTATGGCAATGGTATGAAGTGACAGACCTCTCCCTGGCGAGTGGGCTTTGCCTCCTCGGATGGTGATGGTTTCGTTTTATTTGTATGTGTTTGGTGATTTGTATTGTTATAACGGTCTTCCCTGCCCCTACGAGACTTCTGTGAAAAACAGCTTTGTAGCTCATCGGATTACACCGGGATAAATACATTATAGATTCTGAGTAAAAACACAGTTTGTCGATATTGCGTCTCGGAAACATTGGTCGCCATGTGAGCTCTGTCTGTCGCTTATCGAACTTGCCGAGTTCATACCGGTTGCCCACGAGGCCGAACGGTAATAATTTTGTCCAAATTGGCCAAATATTATTTTTCGGCAGAAGAAAAGCATGGCTTCCATCGCCAGTGACAACCGCTGGCAGTGATTGTCGTACAATTGCACAAATGCAACGTTTTCTCTGAGCGGTGTCCCACAGTCATAGCATCCACGGGTATTGAAACCAGCTCTGCTGGGTTCATCTTACATCTTGATACATAACCAAACAATGTGCGCATGCCAAAGCGAGGGGGAGAAAATCCGTAGTTTTGTGTGATATTCATTATCTTGAACCCGCGTTATGTGTCTATACAGGCTGCAGCTATGAACGCCAGGGTGTGTTATGCCACTCAGGGTCTGTGATTGTTGCTTTGTGTTTTCGCAGCACACTGCGTGTCTGTCACGTGCAGCCACCTCCATCCTGAAGGTGTCCCTGTCCTTCCCTCGGCTTTTCTTCCAGAGGTTGCAATCCACCAGCATTAAGGTACAGCAAATGACCATATGGACACATCCATTACCACCCACTGATGTTCGCGTTGAAATTAATAATTGGCAATTAGTGACTTAGGTGACTCGGTTCACAGTTAGTAAATTATAACACAGTGAGGCGTTTCAAGGCTTATTGACTACCCAGCATATATTCTGCTAAATTAATTACCTAATTATTCGTTCAAGCTGTTTATAATTACATGACTATAATTCTGAATCCGTACAAGGATTGTGAGGGTGGTGGTGGTGGAGGCCATAGTTAATTTGTGCAGCACGATATGAAAATCAAGATAAATTGTTAACTTACTATTTACTGCTGCATGCTGTGCAATAGAAGGGAAAGGAAAGGTCGGGCACTAGGGGGGATCAAGGCAGTGCTGTCTGCACGCTCAGTGGCGAGATGTCATCTCCCTCGCCTGGTATACAGGTGGTAATGGGTTCAATCCTGACCCTGACGCCTGTATAATTTGGAGTTTGCATGCTCCCTCTGTGGTCACATGGATTTTTCTCTGGGTCCGGGTTTTCCCCTCCAAATTTCGAAACATGCTTTTAAGAGTATTTGGCTGTGATAAAAATGTACACGTGATATTCCACTTCGTTGCGCTTTCATTTGTGGCCAGGTCGCTTCTAAAAAAGAGCTATAGAGCTCAGTGGGCAATAACTGGTAAAAAAAAAAATGTAGTTTAGTAAAAAAAAGCTGCTATTATTAATGCCCTCTTGGTAACCACAAAAGAAAAACACGCGCCACGAGGTTTCTGCAAGGTCCGAAACGTGAATTCACAAACGCCGCTCCTTTTCCGCCCCCCCCCCCTCCCTCCCATCTGTTGACTCTTTTCCAGCTGAATCTTTCGCCGACGCCGCGCACGGCAAGCGAGCCCCTTGCGCTTCACAACACGCAGCAGCTGGCACTCAAGGTGGAGGGTGTCATTCAGCACGGCAGCCGGCCCGGCCTTTTCCGGCACGTGCACGCCGTGCGCCTGACCGTCACGTGCACCCCGCAGGCCCCCCGACCGCAGCACGACGTCAAGGCAAGGGCATGCTCACGCTGCAGTGAAAACGCTGCTGGGAAACATTCATTACACACACAAAGCGCTTGCCACAAAATGAGAACCACAATACTTTGCCGATCTCGTCCAGGAGTATGAACCGTCACCACGCGAACTCCGGTTATCCTCGCGTTAGCAGCAGTGGCTTTTGACTAGCCATCGACCCAAAGATGGTCACCGCATCATCGCGCACTTACAGATGCGCTTCGGTGGCCATCTGGAACGTCATTCCTTCTGATATTAGGAAGCCACTGGAGCTATGCACTTTTAAATCTATATTGAAAACTAATTTCTTGAAAACTGCTTTTTGTGTTTAGTTTGTTGTCTTACCCAAGCATATCCGATTAGCACGGTTGGCTACGTACGGCGTGAAAGAAATTCAACATACATACATACATCTGGGAAGGCCCAGAGCCCTATGCATGAAACGTTAGTGTCCAGCAGTGATTTAGCTCGTCTAAATTAATTGTGTAATAATTGAAGCCCTTTATCAATCCACTGCCGACTATGGGGGTTTGATCATACTTCACGACGGTGATCGGTGCAGGTTGGTGAAGGGATGGCTGGGGCCAGGGGGGGTGTTCAGATACAAGTCGCCACTCTTGTTAACCATTGGCCGGGAATCGAACTCCAGTCGCCAGGCTCATGGTGCAGCGAGCGAACAGCTGTTGCCTCCACTCCAGCCAGTTTCATCCCGAGTAAAATAAATATTAACAAAATAGCCTTTGTGAAACGTTTACAAGGGTTGAGATGGGCTCCACTGAGATTTGCGTGAAGAAGATAAGAAGCATATGAGAAAGAGAGCCAAGCAAGGAGAGACACTTTCGCTAAAGTTATTCACAGCGCCTTTAGAAGGTGGCCAGAATCATATTGGAGAAATGAAGGCATAAACAGAGATGTCTAAAATGCGAACAGTCTTAAGATTTGCTGATGACTAAATATGACGGAACAAAAAGTCACGTAGCAACGAGTTCACCACACGCATGAAGATATTTGTTAAAGGGACACAGCGGGAACCAGGATCAACACGATCACATAAAGAGGTGAGCGCGAGCAAGCTGGAGTGCTTTTGGAGCAGTGTACTTGATAATGATGATAGTGTACCAATGTGCGTAAAGAAGAGAGTTTTTAATCGGTGCGTTATCACCTGCTTTCACGTATGGATGAGAAACATAAACACAGTGACCAAGTGGAGCAAAAGTTGAAAAGCGCACAGAGAAGCAGTGAGAGGTTTTTGCTTGGAATTGTACCGGGACAAGAAAGAGGAACACACAGATCGGAGAACAAATACCTATTGGAGACAGAATATTTACTGTGAAGTAAAATGGGCTTGGGCGGGATACGTCTTGAGAAGGGACGATAACCGATGGTCAAAACTGACGATGAAGCGGCAGTTGAAGGAGGGATCACGCCCAGTAGAATGACCACCAGAGAGAGATCTATGAAAATGAATTAATTTCCGAGGACAAACGCACATTGAATGCGTTAAAGAATCCACGCATGTGCACTATTTTCCTTGTTAAAAAAAATATTCCCCATCCTAATCCTCACTGTTTACCTGTGCCCCACCTTTCCTGCCACCTTTGTGCTCCCTCGACGTTCGACCGCCCCCCCCTCCCCCTCTCGACTCCGCCGCCGCGTCGTCTGAGAAGCCCATCCTGGAGTCGGACTGCACGGAGATGGAGCAGCGCGTGGAGCCGCACAACGACTACTTCAGCACGCAGTTTCTGCTGGCGTTGGGCACGCCCGGCGTGAGCTCTGTGAGCGTGGAGGCGAGCGCGCTGGACGAGCGGGGCGTAGCGTGGCGAACGGGCCCCCGCGCCACCATCTCCGTGCGCTCCATGGAGGACCCCCTGACGCAGCAGCTCCGCATGCAACAGCAGCAGCAGCAACAGCAGCAACAGCAGCAGCAGCACCATCAGCAGCAGCAGCAACAGCAGCAGCAGCAGCAATTGGCGCAGTCGCAGCGGGCAGCCTACGGCAGGTTCTGAGGAGGTATAGACTGCTTACGACCTCGGCCATGTGGGCCTGTTCATAAACTCCGTTCGGCGTGCGCAGACGCGCTGACGATCGTCGTTAATTGCATGTCTCGTCCGGTGAAAATTCGACTCCGCAAACGGTATATTGGAGGATACCTGTAAATACCCAACCGTGCATCGTTACCATGGAAAGGGCTAAGTGGAGTGGAGAAGATCCCATAAAGTGAGGAAAAGTTTGTTTGTCCAAGTAGACATTCTGCCGTGGATGTTTCTGTGACAAGTGCTCTCTCAGCGAGTAGATAAGAACTTTGGTTGCGACACCGCCAGGTGGTGCGACGGGAGAGACCGGGGATGGGTTAAACTATTGTCAAGGTTGCAATGTTAAAAACGTTGCGGTCTGTGCTCTGTGCCGAGTTGTAGTTCTATGATCTGTACCTGCAAAAAAATACTCACGGATTATTTTGGAAAAAAAAGGACTCTTCCTTGCTTGAAAAGCACCACCAAATTAAGTGTGACAGGAGACGCTGTGGATAGGTGTGTAAAAATAGTGTTTTTTGAGTCTAAACCACACACGAAGTAAGTATTGAAATACCTTTGTCCATCGTCAGTGTGATCACAGACCATTTGCATTGTGTTGAGATTTATACATAAAACTTAACGGTGTTAGGTTCGATTAAGTTTATTCTTCTGACGTAGATGGATACATTTTTGCATGTAAATAAATTGTTTTGAGAAATGTATAAGATTGGTTGACCACAAACCCTTCAGAAAATAGATATTATCTTTGTACCACATTGCTGAAAAAGAATAATCGATTCTTTAATCGAATCATGGCTCTTGATTCGTAATAATTGAGTCGTGAAAGGGAGGGGGAAGGGAGTGAATTGTTACACACCTCTTATTTACAAAGAGCCTCCCGTGCGTTTAAAAATGCAACGGTCTCGTGTTTTCCTCTAGTTATTGTGCATTTCGTTCAACATTTGAGATAGTGATTGCTTTCATGTGTTTGTGGGGAGGAGTAGTGTCACAATTAAGTGGGCTGCACTACGATCCCGGCAACCCAAGTTCGATTCCCGCTCATGGCCACCAACACCAGTGACGATTATATAAACCAGTCCAGGGCCTCCCATAGGTTGACTCAGCCTCAAATGAGTACCTGGTATGATGTGTGAACATCGCCACTAGGGAGACAAAGGCGGCCAGGTGTGGTGCTGACCACTTCACCACCTCGTGTACCTTACCGGCCTTCATAGGTGCTCGCGAACAGCACTTGCCCCAACAATCTGTTAAGGTTTATGCAGGGCATCTTTGTGTCATGAATGTGAAAGTGCCTCCAGTGGCACAACAATTCACTCATAATTATAGCCAAGAAACTTGAAACTGCAACTTTGTGTTTTGTATACATTGTTTGCAACGTCAACGAAAGCTCTCGTACATAAATAAAGTGGAGATGTTTTTTGAGTTGCTGGATGTGTCGGTTTTTTTGGCAACAGATTTTTAGTATTTGTGCAGGGAAGCCACCAGCATTACTGATTCCCAGTTCGGTTAATTAGTAAAAAAACAAGCTTATTATCTATTTACATGGTAACGTTTTTAACATTCATAAATTATTTTGTAGAGCAATACATTAATTGGTACATAAATCATGTACAGTTTCAAGTCGATACATGAAAAATTATCACGAGACAAGTCATTTAAAGCAATAACGAGGGTGGTTGCAACACTCTCATTTCATAGTTTAAGCATTAAAACATTTATTTGGGCATAGTTTTACCTCCAATCTCTTAAAGTCGGGACTTCATTATTCCTGAAAACCCATAGATGCTTAAACGCAAACACCCTTAAAGCTCCAGGAGTGCATGTCTAGAACGGATTCTGAGCAGATAGGGTTCCAGCGAAATTCAGTGAGGGTGATGAATACATTGGATGACACCGGACACTGGGTGCAATTATCATAGCACTCGACCCCTTTTTTTCCAAATTGAGGTAAGGCTCAGGGCTGCAGCTCATTCAACCGTAACAGCACTTAAACGCTAAGGTTTGTCTTGCTCAAGGCTGGTAATGTGTATTTGAACGTTTGTGGCTAGAATTATGTCTCCCATGCACACAGTCAACCCCCCCTCCCCAACAAAAGATAATGTAAGTGACTTGCCCTTTTCCAGAACAAATACACATCCCGCATTTAGCTTTTAACAGACGACCAGGATAAGTGCTGTTAGCAAGCACCTCTGAAGGCCGGCACGGCACACGAGGGGGTGGGTGGCCATCGCCACGCCCGACTGACTTTATCTCGTGGCGATGTTTACACAATGCATCAGGTACTCGTTTGAGGCTGAGTCGACCTAGGGGAGGCCCAGGACCGATTCAGGTAATTGTCACTGATGTTGGCTGTGAGCGGGACTCAAACTCTTGTAGATTCTTCAACACCGCTGCACAGATGGTGTTCCGCAGGGTTCCGTTTTACCATCCTGTGGGAGCAGTCATTGTTACAGCGGTGCCTGGTGCCACGCACACACAGTCTGCTATCGCAACAGAGCGAGCACTGAGCGAAATTTATAAAACATCAATGAAACATTATGTTACTATCTTCAACTAACTTCTGCACTGGAAAATCCCTTAATGTGTTTCTGCATTGCTATATTTAAAAGAAATTATAATCACTCTTGACACTGCGTGCAAATCTGTTCTTCAGGCTGCCTGGCAGTTTTCACTAATTTCCCCTTATTACCAAATGTACGTGCAAATGCTGCGCTAAATTCCACGAACAAATGTTTTTTCCGCAAATGAATCCGGTGTGTTGATCGTCATCGTCGTCGTGATGCGTGCAGCATCCCTCTGAATCCGGGCGGTACAATATCACCTGACGTCGCTTTCGATTGGCGACACGCTCCGGTCTCCGGGGAGACTCTGCAGCGACACGAACGCGTCTGCGTGGCGCGAGCTCCGCCGCCGCTGCTGCTGCTGCTGCTTCTGGTGGCGCTGAAACGAACGCGGCGCCGAGTCCGTCTGAAACTCCAGGCCCATCTCCATCCCCAGGGTGGATGGCAGCGGCGATTGAGGGCACGGGTGGATGGGCCCGGAGCTGGAGGCGACGTCCACGGTGGAGGACGAAGCTCGCGAGGCCGCCGTCCCGCGGGGTCCCGCGTCCCCGTCCGCGGTCCCGGCCTCTCGCCGGGACCTTCCGCACCCCTGCCGCCCCCGCCGCCTCCGCCGCCAGTGGCTCGCGTAGGTGGCGACCTTCATCCCGACCGCGACGACGTTCTTGCCGAGAAAGACGGCGGAGACGCGTGGGTCGCGGTACAGCAGCACCTGCAGCAGGCGCACCAGCACAGTGGCGCCATTGACGGCCACGAGGCTGAACACGGGGTAGAGCAGCAGGCGGTGGGGCACCAGGCTCTCGCCCTGCACGCTGATCTCGCTGAGCGAGACGCACGGCAGCACGAGCATCACCGTGTAGCAGTAGAAGAAAGTGAGTCCCTCCACCCAGGGTGGAGGAGGAGTCGTCCTCTGCTGTTGCTGCTGCTGCAGTTGTATCTGCAGGGCGGCCGCCGGCTCCCACAGGCTCGCCTGCACATCCAGCACATCGAGCAAGTCCACCACGACCCAGAAGATGCGGCTGCGGAGGTCCTCCTTCTTCCAGAACGCCCGCACGTACCCCATGTGGTCGATGGCGACTAGCGCGACGTACAGCGCGGGGACGCACACGGACAGCAGCAGCGTGAGCAGCTTGCGCGCCGTGCCGTCGGTGGCCGGCGACGAGGAGACGGTGCGATCCGAGCGGTAGTTCTGGAACACGAAGTAGAGCTTGATCTCGAGCACGAACACGTAGAGGAACCAGAGCGCCATGGCGTAGGCGCGCTTGGCGGTGCGCACTTCGGCGCCCACCCACACGGCGAGGTAACGCAGCAGAACGAGGACGCACACGTCGCCCACCAGCAGCATGATGCACACGCCGACACGGCGGGGGCCAGTGTTCTGCTGCACCAGGTAGGCGTCCACCAGCACCATGCTGCCCACCACCAGCGCCGTGAAGACGCACACGTGGCCGCGGTCGGGCGACGGCAGCACCATGGCGGGGACGGGAAGGGGGGATGGGGCCCGCGCTGTAAAGCGGAAAGCGGACGACGAGTGAGAAGGGACTTGGAGGGTCGCAAGTTTGTGGCCCAGTGGCTCGCGGAGGGCAGAGCTGGCACCGGCTGAGATTGTGAGTTCGAACGGAGGCGGGCGCCTCTGATTAAATCGGGCTCTCGTGCAGCGAGTCAATGTGGTGCTGGCCCAGTCACCGGCGACTGTACTGTCTTTTGGTCTCATGCTGACCACCCGTAAGAGTGTGGTCTATGTACGTAACAGCGCATTGATTCGTCGATTAAAATCGGTCCTGGCTATGGTAGAAATCGAATCATGCCTGTAAGAATCGATCATTTCCAATTCGTATTTGTTGTATGTAATTAGTTCAAGTGAAATCCTCAGTCGCTAGACATTACACATGCACCACAATGACAAAAAATGTTTTTTCTTAAATCGAAACGCGCCACTGCCGAATATTGACAATTCATCAAATTGGTCTGGGAGCAAATCATCACATGCCAATGTTTATTTTTCGCCTGGAGTTTACAAAATCGTGATGTGTACAGGATGGAGGACCATAGGGGGCAGGCACGCGGTGACTCTTGTTCTGAGAGATTGATACGTCAATGAGTTATCCATGTCTGTACAGCAACTAGGCTGATCCACGTGATAAAGAGTTTGAGCGTTCTCCCCTTGTGTTTGTTTTGGTGATGAATTTCACATTTTTTTATTTTCACGACCAATTGTTTATTTTTTCAGGGTAGATTATACGATCACTTAAATTGGCTTTAAAAGCCAGTTTGAAAAATAAGATTAATAAAACATTTACCGCCAGAACAGAGGCGTCGTTTGTGCGCGACGAATGAATTGTCACGATCAGGGGTGGGGAAGGTCACGATTCTTTTCAACGAAACTCTTTGATTTCAGCTTCACCGTATCATTTATGCCGTTTCTCAATTCTGCGGCACTAAGTTAGCCTGAAAGTGACGTTAGCAAATCACTTGCATGTAATTTGTACGAACGGTAATTAATCGATTCTCGCACAGCGCTGTCTGACTATTTTTGTTCGCGTTGGCATCGATTTAAATCGACGAATCGATGCCCCCTTCAACATGCCCACGATAGGTTTTTCATATCCAATTTGAGAAGCAGCAGCAGGAGGACCGTTGGCCCTGTGTATTGAACGCCACCGGATATTGAAGAGTCCCAAGTGGCCTAAAAGCAGTTGTTTAAGCGAGCGTGGATTTACGCGTGCAATTCACACTCCATGCCTTGGCTCGCGTGCATGTGCACACTCAGGAGGCAGACGAACCTGGTGCATTTGCTAATCGAACATCGCCTTGACCATCGACGCAACGGTGTGGAGTTGGCACGCGACGTGGCTATCGTAGTGTGGCCGGGGCGGTATTGGCACGTCGTTTTAGTCCGTAGATATCAGGTTTTTGGGCATCGCCAACGAGAAAGTCCAGACAGGAGTGAGATAATGGGTCCCTGAAATGTGAGTTTTGGAGAGAAAAAAATCATTATTTTACAACAACAAAAATGAACTGGCCAATGTCGAAGAATATGTAGGGACTAATTTTTCTAAAGGTTTAATTCTACGTATAAACCAGTTGTGCGATAATTCATATTTTAAAAATAACTTTTAAGTATCTTTTTAAATATAAATTAACTCTGGAGAGTTGTGTTTTTTTAATCTAAGGTACTGTAGGTAACATTGCTCACGATACATAGCAATGTTCCCAAAGAGGGAACAGATCATGCGGTCACGGGTACCATTGTCCAACCCCAGCCTTGACCCACCGCCCACATCACCGCTGCTGATTCAGGACTCCCGTGATAGATTTATAGCTGTTTACCCCTGCTTGCTAAATAATCTCCGGCGCCCGTTGTACATACATACATACATGCAAATAAATGAACACCGCTCTTCCTCCGCGTACCTCCTAGAATCTATCATGCTTGCCACTGACCAGATAGTGATAGCGAACGTCGTTGCGTCCCCGACCCTTCGTCGGTCCTGTATTCGCACATACGATTAGCACGGTTGGCTACGTACGGTTCAAAAGAAGTTAGACGTACATGCACATCCATTGCAAGCACACGGCTTGCGTGTCCGTGTGATGTCACACGGCCCGCAATTTTGTGTTTTTGAAGGATCGTTACGGCTGCCGCGTTTGGAGTTTGTTTCGCGGCGTCCCGCCTGCAATGCCGTTGTGTGCGCCACGGTGTGGAAGGTACAGCCGGGGACAGACTCAGCGGGAGCACAAGCAGGTCACACGCGCATGTCGTACCCCGCGTCCGAATGAATGAAACCCGTGAAAGATATAAAATGCCATATTTTAGTTATATACTTGGGGATTTTTACGTTTTCTTCGCCCCTTAATCGATGTGTGGAAATAAAAATGTTTACATTTTAAACACCCGATATATTTGCTGTGTTTTTAGTGGGGTTTGGTCCACTCGCGTCGGAAACATTGCAGCCGGCTGTGTCGCAGCCACCAAATCATCTTCTCCCACTCTCCTTCCCAGCCCGCTCGCAAGTGTAAAATAAATAAATAAAGCTGCCTCACCCTCGGAACATGTTTTTTAATTAAAGCGCAAATCCCTTCCTTGCTTGGGATACAAATGACCACGGCGGTTTCGCCTGCTGTTGCCATGCAGGGAATAATAGAACAAGAAAAGAGTGGAGTGCTTTAATTTAAATCACATGTCCTGGTCAGCTGAACCGACAGAGCGATGCGCTGTTACGAGACTCGAATGCACACACAGACAGACACTCGTCACGCTGCAGTCAAACAGAGGCTTGTGGAATGTTCAAAAATAACTTTGGGCACTTCCCCCACTCTTGAAGCCGCGTGCTTTTATGTGCAGTGAAAGGCCACGTAGGAAAACTGGATTTCAAAATGTGATCGCTCCTTTTAAATGTGACAACTGCCAAGATGTATTAAGATTCTCATTTCCTGTGGGGTTTTTTTTCTATTTAGGAGTGAAACTTGTTTTGTACTGCAAGCTAGTATTGGATTATTATTCATGAGGTTCAATTTGCAGTCTTCATTGTAAATTAACATCAATGCGGGGGAAAATATGGTGATAGTCTGTTTTCTATCATGCACTTTTGTATTTTTTTTTCAGCAGAATCAGGAACATTGATTCGGAGAAGTATTAAAATTCAGCACATATTGGTAATTCCGCTTTAAAATTCCCTTTGTTTCAAACGCGAGGGTACCAGGTGCTCCAAAGTGGATTGGGCAACAGAGGGAATTGAAAGGATGACTTCTCAAGAGGCGTTTGCGTGGGGAATGCATAACCGCATGCGACTGCGCTCCATTCGGATGCCGCGGCAAAGGGCCGAGGTGCTTTTGAATGGGAATTTGCATCGGAATTCTTGGGGGGGGGGGGGGGGCGTTGTGTGGTGTGCGGTGATGTGCGGCAGTTAGATTAACGTGGGTTGCCGGGCAGCTTAAGTGCCCTGGCGTTGTGACTTTTGGGTCCACCGTTGACAGATGGGACACGCGGTGCAGAAACCTTTTGCTAGCTTCTCACAAACTTTTGTCTTCGGTGTGGCCAATTTGTCGTGGGCTTTTGTTGTTGTCCCCTCCCCCGCCCCCATTCTTTCCTGGATGCATCGATGGCGCATGCATAATGCACGGCACATCTGTTGAACCGGGGAAAATTGAATGCCTCTGGAAGTAATTTGTTTGCGCGTTCGCTTGGCCACGGCCAGTGTGTACTCGTGGTAGATGCAATGTAAATACGCATCCACTGCGTACACCGGGCAAGCGCAGAGCCGAATGCCATTGTACGAAGGCCCTCATTTCTCATCGCGTTAAGTCATCAATGGGTGACGGCTCAGAATTAAAAACGAATCCGCGGGTTCTTGGCTTCTTTTACACCGCCGGTACCGATTAAAGCGGCGCCGGCGGTTTAATGATCTGGACCGAGCGAGCAAAATGAATGTCGGGTGTACGAGCTTACCTGCGAGCAGAGCTTGCAGCAGCAGCAGCTGCAGAAGCTGTCCAGAGCCTCCCTCTTGGCGATCCGACCGCCCAGCGTGGAACGGCACCTCGAGGCGTGCCGCTAACTCGCCGTCCGTCTCCCGAGCCACTCCGCCTTGCTCCGCGGTGTCTGCATTTGCTTCCACTTAAAGCAGAGTGCAGAACCGCCTGCTGCAACCCTGCCCCCCCCCCCCACCAACCTCTCCCTCCCCACCTCCCGTCCACGAATCTCCGCTACTAACTCCTCCCCGTACGATCAGCGCCTCCCAGCTGTGTGGCCACCACTTCCCACGGGATAATTCATTTCACTGCCACATTTGCAACGACTCGCGAGCGGGGCAGCCTTTCTTTGCAGCGGCTTGCGCGGTGCCCTCTGTGGCGGCAGCAGGACGCGCTTTCGCTCGGATGCCTTCACTCCCATCGCGAGCGCTTGGCCCTGGTCTATTTCAGACACGTTGTCAAAAATATAAACAATTGAGGATATTTACACTATGAGACCGACCTCCTTTACCAGTGGCAAAATATAGTAGTAGGTTTTTACCCTTTAAACTGGTACAAAACTGACACCTTTATACAAGGCATCATGTTTGCAAACAGTTTAAAGGGTAAAAACCTACTACTAAATTTAGGATATATTCTTGGTTCTTTTGGTAAAGACAAGTGAAAAAAAAAATTGGGAAATAATAAAATAATTATGTTCTCTCCGCCTGATGAAGACTGCCTGTATTGCGATCGAACCGTCATGGGTTTTTTGCTTTTATAATTTTCAAAAATATATATATTTACGTGAAATTTACCGAGAGAACCAAGAATATGAATTCCTGCAGTCACGAAAGTTTTAAATCAAAATTGAGGATATTTCTATTTGTCTGTCTATAGGTGGTTGTCTTTTATGTAAATACAAATATTCTGGCCTTGAGTGCAGTTGTGCTTTGGAGCCACACTTTATTTTGTCGTGTGGAAGGCCAGCCTGTAAATGGTCTTCTTTGTGTTTGTGCTTTTGTAGCGCTTGCAGCGCTTGCAATGATTTGCACGTTGGCTTCTAAATAAGCACAACACACCCACACACAAATCCAGCAGTCATTAAGTTGAGAACTAAAATAACAACGATAATTATAATAACTCTGCGGCTTAGTTATTTGTCTTGCGAAAAACCCTGAACACGGAATGTAATTTCAATCCGTCAAAGTCTGTGAAGGTAAAAGACAATATTGTGCACAAATGTAATGAGTGAGAAACAAATGGTAATTCCTCCTGAGCTGTGAAGTAATGGAGCTTATCTGGATTTGCTCGCGTCCTGTTTAATCAGATTAGGAAAACACACCGTTGCAGAGGACAACTTTTGACCTGTAAAGGGAACGGAGGATGGGGTGGTAGGGGGAGGAGAGGCGTGTCACGGGGGTAAGTTTAGGGGGCACTGTCAATTTCCATCACCATCCCTCACCATAACTCCTGAGATGCATTTGTGCTGAAGCCTCGAGAATGATGCCACTGCCTCGTGGTCTCGGGCTCCGAGCTCGGGAATGGCCACGGCGCCATCAATCTTCATTCCTCCACAAGAGGCAAATGTGCTCGCAGGAGTGACAAAATCCAAATTAAACAATCCATACGCACTGTCAATATCATACGCTATTTAGATGTTATGATATTTTTTTTTTTTTAAGCCGAATACCGGATTCTTTGGTCTCCTTTCGTCGACTCATTCCTGGTCTGAATTGCCCCACGTGCCATCTCATCCCATCATCCTTCGAGTCCCCTTGCCTTTCTCGCCTCTCTCTATCACCTCCGATTCTTCTCCCTCTTTCTCTTGCCCCCTTCCCGCTTGTTTCCTGTTCCTTGGATCACATTTGTACCACACAATGGTTGTGTGCGTCAGCCGTCCCGATGATGATGATGATGATGCGCCTTCTGGTTCCTTTCACTTCTGTACCGTCCTTGACTATTACGAATGGGATGTTTGAAATTCTTTTTTTTTTAAACCGAGCAGCGCCGTGAATAGCTTCAAGGGTTTAAGTAAAAAATTGGGAGCCGAGGTTAAGAGTGTAGAGCCAAGGACTCTTTGCTCATTACCCGCCTTGAGCACGAGGTGTTGGCGCACGATTTCTGCGGTTGTAGCTCACGGTGACGTTCACGTGTTCCGCGTTTTTTTTTATCGCACAGTGCCGTGGCTGAGTCTTACGCAACTCTGCCGTCGGCCAGGGGAGACAAAGTCACGGCAATTTCAGGTCGTCGTATCAAATATGTATTAACGGTGGGCACGTAAATATTCCGAGTCGTAGCTCAGAGGTGTTTGTCTGGGGTGGCACTTAAACTGTGGATGTCTCTCCCGTTGTAAATTAGGAAAAAATGGCTCCGCTGCATGCAGTCCTAGAGGCACTTTTGAGTAGTGGCTGGGTCAATGGTTGGCTACGTGCGGCGTGAAGGAAGTTCAACATACATGCATTCATCAGCTGCAAGGCAAAATATCGACGCTGCAGAAACAATGTATACGAGAAATAATTGATTGATACAAATTAATAACGGGGGGATTGTTTTCTGTCGCTGACAGGAAAGCAAGATACAGAGGTTTTGGCTGACTGCCTTCTTCAGGAAAGCCTCATTGAGTCTCAAGCATTTTTTTTTTCAGGGGGGTGCTGCTGATGCATGGGGGTGGTTAGTCAATTTCATTCGTGAGTGTTTGTCCTGTGAGAAGGTAACCAGAGAACCCAGAGAAAATGTATCCGCGCATATGAATGGGGTAACACTCAAAAGCTTCACACAGATGGATTCAAGAATCCACTGCATGAACTGACATATCCTGACCACAACCCATACATATTTAAGGAATTATTGTATTGTTTCAATTATTGTTATTATCTTGCATTCATTTCGTTGTCGTTGTGTAAGTTCAATGAAGCAGTAACAGCAGAAGGCCCTCAATGACGGGAATAAACACATGCTCTCTCCATCGGCATTCATCCAGCAGTGAATAAATCGTGGATAGTGAAGACGAATGTCATTGTCTGCTCGCGTGCCAAACGCTTTGAGCCCAATCCGTGAAGGGCACTAAAAATGCAATGACGACCACATCTCCGCTACTTTTCCCGATCCCGCCTCAAGCCACTCTGCCCGAAGCCTTACGGTCAGGAGGTACGAAGCGCCGCTTCATTACACAATACGGTCGTGATTTATAGAGCATCAATATGCAGTTGCATCTTGAGACGCCGTACGTGAAGTGGGGCATGCAGATCGCTGCGAACCACTGAACACGGTGAGGCTGTATATGCGTGTGCACATATAGAGGGGATTAGTCTTGAGAAAGGACGTGAACATAGGCAGGAGTCAGCAAGATGGATGGCCATCATACTGATGCATAATGCTGTTGCTGTAATGCACAGCTAGAAACAGCAAATCGCTACTAAAATGACAAAAGTCGACAACCAAAATGGTTTTGTTTTTCGATTTAACGCTGTCTTTCCGACAGACCTGTTCTTCACCTGAGGACGGCTGCTTGCGTTGTGGCCGAAACGTCGTGAGAATTATTTTATTATGTTTTATTTTTATTATTTTATTATTTCCCTTCTATGTAACTTTACCGAAAAAACCAAGAAGACAGAATGGTTTTGTTCGTGTAGGCAACAATTTATGTTCGGATAGACATTACTCTAATCCTGGTCCGCCTTCAATAATTGCCCGAGTTAATACAAAACAAAACGGACGACAGCATGTCGGAGTGCTCTTGTAAAACTGAGCTTTTGATATTAAAAGTGAATGTGTCCCAAAGAAGATGTTTTTCAATCGGTGCGTAATACCTGCCGTGACATGAATCACTTACAAAGAAAATTGATCTAAAGCTGAAAAGTCCATAAGGAATCGTGGAGAGAAGTGCATATTTGGAGTTACACCAAGAGACAGACAGAGGTCCACGTGAATTAGCAGACAAATGCCAAAGAGAGATGTGGTATTGACCGTTAAGTAATTGGGCTTCATTGGAAGCGATCGTGCCCGATGGTAAAGGATGACAACGGAATGGCAGCCAATGGAGAGAACATGCTCGTCTCTGTGTGCCGGTCCTGGCCCTCCCACAGGTCGACTCGGCCTCAAATGAGTAGCTGGTGCGGTGTGTAAACATAATTTTACATTGAAAACTCACTTCTTTAAAACTGCCCCTTGCGTTCAGATCGTTGTCCTCCCTCCGCGCCTCCGATTAGCATGGTTGTCTCTGTAGGGTGCGAAAGAAGTTCAACATATTTACTGCACGGAGGAGTGAAATCGTCTCGTGTGTGGGAAGCATATTGATCGTTGCATCGCGAGAACATGAAATATTTATTTGTGGAAGCCTCCATCCAACATTATATCGCTCATGTCTACTCGCGGTAGCCGAGGCTATAAGGGAGTTGCGCATTCAAACGCGTGCAGCAAGTCCTCGTTTAACGCGGTGGATGCGTTCCTGAAAAGTGCTGCGTCAAGCGAGACATGCGTTAAGCCAGGGGTCGGGAACCTTTTTGACTGGGAGAGCCATAAAAGCCAAATATTTCTAAATATATTTCAATGAGAGCCATATAGTATTTTTAAAGTATAATAAATGAAATATGTCTTACTTTTAATGCGACTTCTGGTGCTGCATGGTTTTGCTGATGGCCTTGTAGTCTGGTTCATACGTGGTGAGGTTGAGCTTCATGCAGGCGTGACCCGTGACATTTATCTTCAAAACTAATTTCTGTTTACTTTAAAATGACACAGTATTATTAAGCAATATCACAAGTATTTTAAAATCAGTTCCAAACTGATTTTTTTTTTCAACTCAAAATTGTCTGGGAGCCATATGCCATCACTGGAAGAGCCATATATGGCTCGCGAGCCATAGGTTCCCGACCGCTGCGTTAAGCGAAAGCAATTTCCCCCAAAACGAATGCAACGGTGAAGTTTGGCGAGATACGATGTACTACTCCGCACACGCAGTGAGATGGCGGGACAAATAACTGAGGGTATGCCTGCCCGCGTTACAGTATCATTCCGCCTAGAGCAGGGGGGTGGGAAACCTTTTTTCTGCCAAGGGCCATTTGGATATTTACAACATCATTCGCGGGCCATACAAAATTATCAACTTAAAAATTCGCCCG